TGAAGTACATACATCTGAACAGAAGAACAGTACAATACTGTTATAATTCATAAATGCAATGTGAATAAATTGTAACTAGGCTGTGGAGTGTGGATGAAAAGTTTACCCCATTCTCCCTCCCTACCTCTCTCTCACACACACACCCTGTGCTGAAGGGGGAATTTGCTGAATCTGCAAATACAAAAGCCTCATGATCGCTTACTGCATCACGCGGCTTCACAATGGCACCAGCAGACGAAAGGAGTGCGCGTTTTTCCTGCGCCAACTATGTATGTGTGCATTACTGGCAAGCCTACAAAGACTCCTTGTCACAGTTCATTTGCTTTCCCTGTCCGCTAATCATTTGTTAAAAAGAGTAGCTGTAGTCACGTCTCTGAGGTGTGTATACGCAGACAGAGACCACTTTATTAGGTGCTCTTACCTTATCTACATTCACTGGTCTTTTTATCCGGTAGGGGAGACATTTTATGCACACAAACCCAATTCCAAAAAAGTTGGGATAGTGGAAAAAAGTAAGCAAAAACAGACAGCAATGATTTGAAAATTGAAAACAGTACAAAAGCAAGATGTTTAATGTTAAACATTAACAGTGTTCAGTAATGGTTTAGGAACTGAGAACACCAATTACTGTAGTTCTGAAAGTGGATTTTTTTTTCTCATTCTTGCTTGATATAACACTTCAGCTGCTCAACAGTCTGGGGTCTCTGTTGTCGTATACTGTGATTTATAATGAGCCACACATTTTAATGGCAGACAGGTCTGGACTGCAAGCAGGCCAGTCTAGCACCTGCACTCTCTTACTACAACACCACACTGTAGTAACACATACAGAACGATCCCTTCAAAGATGTGTAAGTCACCCATTGGCACTACACACCCCCGTACCATGAAGACACTGGCTTTTGAACTTTATGCTGGTAACAATCAGGTCTTTTTCCTCTTTGGCCCAGAGAACACAATGTCCATTATTTCCATAAACAATGCAAGGTGGACTCATCAGACAGCACATATTTCTGCTTTGCGTCAGTCTATTACAAATGAACTTTAACCCAGAGAATTCGGTGCCGTTTCTATATGTTATTGATTTATGGCGTTGCATAGTAGTCTTAACTTGCATTTCTAGATGCAGCACTGAACTGTGTTACTGAAGAGGGTTTTCTGAAGTATTTCCAAGCCTGTGTGTTTATATTCATTACCGAAGCATTCAGTTTTTAGATAGATAGATAGATAGATCACTTTGTTAATCCCAGAGGGAAATTCTTCTATTGCAGCAGTACAAAGCACAGTAAAGAGCAAACAAGAGCAAAATGAACAAAAGTAAAGTATTGCCGTACATTATGTACAGATATATAAAAAGAAGTAGAGATAAATAATAGAATAAAATATACTAAACAATAAACAATAAGAGTAATGTGTGGATGCATAAACAAAGTGACAGGGCACTTTGTTTTTAATGCAGTGTGGTCTGAGGGATTGAATGGGCATTCAGCACTGGTTTTTGTCCTTTCTCTTTACACACAGATTTTTTTTCTTTTCTCTTTACACACAGAGAGAGTTTTTCTCTAAGTGGCAAGTAAGCCTCTTGTGAGAGCTTCTTTTATTCCCGATCATGATAGCATCTCCTGTTACCTGTTCACCTGTTTACTCGTGTAAAGTTCCAAGACAGGTTTTCTTGGTCATTCTACAAATGTCCCACACTTACACTGCCCATTTCACAATATATTTGGAATATGTTGCAGGCATCAAATATGAAATTAGCATATATTTCCAAATATCTATAAAGTTGATAAGGTAAAATATTCAATATCTCTTCTTTGTGCTATTTTCAATTAAAGACAAGTAATAGACACTTTACAAGTCACTGCTTTCTGTTTTTTATTTGCATTTTATCTACTGTTCCAACTTTCTTGGAATAGGGTTTGTAGTTAAACAGATTCAAGTAAAACATTTTCTCAAATTCAGTGGCAGCGTCTTTTCTGAATTTTGACAGCTATCAGAGAGACATTTCTCAAGATCCTTTCTTAAAACTTTTTTTCATAAAAGTACATTTCAATAATCACTTAGTTCACACCTATATATTTTTAATTGTGGAGGCTGTAAAAAACATAATTTTGAAGCAAATAAACAACTCACACTGAGAGCTAGCCAGGCTAAGTACAGCCTCCACATGGTGGGGTTAGTTTTAATACAGTGTTACAACTAAGCCTCCCAAAGTAAACAATGAGAGAAGTCCATACCTCCCATGTAAACTCAAAACAATAGATTAAAAAAACTTTTCTATGTACATATTAATCAAAAATGTATGATAGATATAAACTTGATCATGCTTATATTTGCTATTGTACTTCATATTTACTTGATGAATATATTTTTATGGATTTATGTTGGAAAGCTTGTCTTACTCAAACTATCTAGTACTATGTACTGATGTAATTGTTCTGCTTTGACTTACCAAAATTTATATTGACTGTTATAGCTAGACCCTCAGTCTGTTACAAATAAGCCCACCTTTGGAGTAAGTTATAACATTTGCCCTCAGTTTGCTTTCTCCTGTATTGTTCATAAATGGTAAACAAAGAAACAAAGTTTACATTTGCTTATGTATCAGGGATGTGTGAGACACTTCCACAAAAAAGATTAATCTTGCTCAGATACTTTTTATTATTTAATTATTACTGTACAGATACATTTTGTAGCTTTACAGATACTGACTGTTGGTCAGTCCCCTGTCTGTCAGTGAAGATATGTGCAGGACCACTGCTGACCAGATTTCCCTTGGTCATCCATTTCAGGCACAGCAGTGTTGCTGGGATTTTTATACATGTCGGTGTCACTGTTTGTTTGAGAATAGTCCACCACCCATAAATATACGGCCAGCAGCGTCCTGTGGTCAGAAACTGACCACTGATGAAAAACTAGAGTGTGAATAACACAAACACAGTGTTCAGAAACTCCTGCAGCCCTGCTGTGTCTGATACAACACCCACTAACATGAAGCTACCATGTCAGCCTCAGTGCAGTGCTGAGAATGACCCCCTACCCAAATAAGACCTGTTCAGTCCTATTGTGGTTCCTTTCCACTGATGGACAGGGGTAGAGGGGGACTGATAAGTTGTGCTGCAAAAGATTGGCTACAGTCAGTAACTGTAAACCTAAGAAGTGGCAGGTGTATCAGATCAAATGGCCAGTAAGTGTAGATATGAGGTACACTGTATGTCTAAAAGAATCCAGACTAGTGACGTAGGCAGAAATAAATTATTGAGTAGGCCTGTGAAAAAGTGGGTAGGCCAGCTGGATGGATAAAAATTTCCAAATGTGTTAATGTGTCGCAATGTCATTATATCAGGCTATAGCCTGTTCCTGACAGCCATGCAATCATCACTATACCTATTCCAACACTTCATTCCAATGGTGGTACAAAACAATAGCAATCAGACAACTGGAATTTTTGCCTTTGTTTCTGACTTTGGAAGAATTAAAAAATGATATACTATATGGGACAGAATCTCACTTTTAAATCCCCAGTTACAATACTCCAAAAAATACAAATCAAATTTCTTCAAATCAAATCAAAATTATCCTGTCCTCCAGACAGTCCTACTTTAATGTGAACTCATTGCTAAAACCTGTGTTCAGTTGTATAATCTCCATAGAAACATAATGCCAAAAGAATGAAACACTCTGGAACAGGGTAGAGGGGGACTGATAAGCCTAAGGTCACCATGCCCAATGCCAGTTGTTGGCTAGAGAGGCATAAAGCCCCCTAGCATTGGACTGTGGAGCAGCAGACCTGGATTCTCTGGACTGATTGAGCTCCCTCCAGCATCTTTGGGATGTGTTGGAGTAGAGTTTGTGATCCAGAGCTGATCTTCAAACATCAGTTCCTGACCTCACTAATGCTCTTGTGATTTCCTGTGTAATGTGCTGCTGTTTTGCCTAGAACAACATTTTGTTCCAATGTATACAAGTTATATTGAGAAATGACCACTTTACCATTTGACTTGACTGCAGTGTATGAATGTAATGTAATGTCTTGGCAGAAGAGTAGACAAACTCCCTATTAATAGCCTTAATTTCAGACAAAACATTGAGTGAACAGGTGTCTACAAACCTTTGAACATACAGTGTAAGTGTACCTAATAAACTGGCCAACTGAGTGTATATATGAACTGTTCCGATCATGATGTGTAGGATAGAATTAAAATGTATGCATAAACATCAGGCAAAAGATAAAGCACAGCAGGCCTGTATACATTAAAACAGATAACCACTATGTGAGAGATTGTGAAATGCTATGAGAAACGTGAGGCGTTCTGTCTAATAGAAGTGAAATAGGGATATTTCTCTCTCTCTCTCTCTCTCTCTCTCTCTCTCTCTCTCTCTCTCTCTCTCTCTCTCTCGGTTCTGTTTGGAGCTTGTAGAAGCAGCATATGGGGCTGTGCAGAGTGTGTGCCTAGTGCCAGCTAATCATCTTATCTGACCATATAGCTGTGAGTGCAGCAGCCGCTGCATAGGGAGCCCCCTCTGTGCTGTGAGGAACATCTGTTCTTCTGAAGCGGCTACTCGCTCCTTTTCTGCACTGACCACAGGGCTCATAGCATAGAACAAACCTGTAAAAACACTAGCACATCCTGGTAGATTAGGAATGGGCAGGCAATTGGTTTTAGGTGTGCTATTACTGACTGAAGGGAAACTACTTTACTGTGAAAAGGAGATGACACATTTTCTGAAAATACTTAACACTTTGAGGTAACTGAACGTCACTCCTACGCAGGCCTGAAAATTCATTCGTCTTTTGTAGTAATTAAACACCCTGTCCAAAAGTATTCAAACACCCTTTCTAATTTGAGAGTTTCTCCTGAAACTAATGGTATTAATAGGAAGGTTGCTGCAGTCTCTACTTTTCTGTTAGGCTTTACACTAAATGTAGGAACATTGCTGTGAGTATTTGATTGCATTCAGTCACAAGAGCATTGGTGAGGTCAGGTACTGATGTTGGATGATAAGTTCTGAATCACAAACTCATCCCAAAGGTAATTAGATGGAGCTCACTCAGTTTAGAGAACGCAGCTGCACTGCTCCACAGCCCAGTGCTGGGGGGCTTTATGCCCCTGTAGCTGATGTTTGGCTTTGGGCATGGTGTGGATGGTCTAGAGTGTCATATTCTGTTGGCAATGCTTTTCAGTGGAATTACATAAACTATGTGTGAACAACTGAACGCCTCTGTCAGGAATAGGTCCACCTTACAGTAGCTGAATTAACTAATTAGATGTCTGATACTTTTGACACAGAAGCCACTGCTTTCACAGTCAGCCACTGTTCCTGATGTGCAGCGCTCTGTCTCCCTCTAGTGGCCAAAACTGTCGCCACACCGGCCAAACCCCGCTGTGACTGAGAGGATGAGCAGTTAGCGCAGTTTCATCATTTCAGAGCTCCGCAGTGGCGATTTTACTAAAGCGGTTTCACTCTAGCGATCACATAATTCAATCTAGGACTCACAATCGGTAAGACGAGCGCATGCAGACGGACTGTTCAGGTTTAATTATTGTAGTTTTTGTTGTTTACTAACGGTTGGTTCAGCGGTGCAGCCCACTTAGGTGGCTAGCTAGGCTAGCAAGCTAGCACTAGACATAACGTCCCACTTTCTCTGCTAACAAATACAACAAATTACTGGTTAACGATAGATATAAATTGTATGAAGTAGTGCAGATATGATGTACGCTGTTTGCGCGGTTTTGTCACTCAGTAATAACAAGTAAGACGCCATAAAGATGAGAATTGTTTGAGAGTAAGAGTTCTCTGTGCTAGCTACGTGGCCTGTAGCTCGCTGTCTTATAAAACTCAGTGAGGCTATGAAAGACTGGCTTTATTTATGTGATGTTGGCTTTAATTTTTGTGTTTTCTTTAGCATTTCTATGTTAGGATTAAGTTATATTATGTGGCTCTGTTAAATACAAGATGATAGCACAATTTGCTGTATTAAACATAAGATGTTTATAACTAAATATGAGATATTAGCACAATTCGAGTAGCATTGATTTACCTCTTCAGTTCAGTGAGCTGGGTGAAAGAAAACATTCAGGGAGAGAATTGAAGTGTACAGTCGGGGTTTCAAATAATACTGTTGTGTCTATCGAAGTATTTTTCTGAGGAAAAGAATCTTTTTTACATTTTAGTCAGTAACCTTTAGTTGGTCACCGCAATTGTTCCGCTTTGCAGTTGCTTAAATCGCTGACTTTTAGCTTCAGCCTGTGCTTTGGACCAAAAAGATCCCAAAAGTATGGAGGCCCATTCCTGCCAGGTGGAGGGAAAAAAACTGTTTTTTTTTTCTGTTTCTGTTATAATAATAACTTATTTTTTTCAAAACATTGACTTAGTATCTAGAAATAACGTTTTGTCATGATTTAGAGTTTGAGAAAATAAGTAAGCTAAAGATGCTAAGTCAAAGTGTACCTGGTGGGAATAAGCTAACTTACCATACAAAAAGAGGTCAAAGCTTAAACTTCAGTTCTTGTGCTGATGGATGTTAAGCAGTTTCACTGCAGTTACGCAGTACTGTAGTATGTTTTTTGCTGTTTGTGCTTCTACTGAAGTTATTTTTTTGAAAAGGGACTTTTACTTAAGTTTTTGTTACAATACTTTTACTTGAGTATAATTTACTGTGTTGATTTCAGGTGACGGTCCTGCAGCCCAGCGCTTCAGACAAGAGGACGAGTATTTTGCCATGAACTGTGAGATGGATGGTAAAAAAAATACAATAACAAAAAAAGAGCATTTACCACATTTTTGACTCCAGACATTTTCATAATAGTTTGTGATGGTATTGCATTGTTTCATGTTTGTGCATTTTGTCCACCCAGGAGATATGGAGAATCAGGTTGAACTGGAAGAGAAAACAAGACTTATTAACCAAGTGCTTGAGCTCCAGCACACACTAGAAGGTAAATGGTAGAAACCAGCCTGGTCCTTCACCCTTTATTCTCAACTATGTTGCTGTACATCTGTCCCCAACACCCGCTCATATGCCTTCTCTTGTTTGCTTCAGTCGTCTTTGTTGTGTTTAGTTTCAGTACATTTCTGCCATACACTCCTATTGATCAGCAGTGCTGGCATGCCGGCTGTACTCTAGACTCCTGACTCAGATCCACTCAGGCAATCTTAATGGCTTCCTGAAGACTGTTTGCGATGCACCAGCAACATGATAATGGATCTGTTCTCCCTCACTTTTATATACTGTGTATAATATGTGTTTAGTAGTTTTTATTCTATTATTTGTTCACTAATTTGTGCATTTATGTACATACCAATTCCAGCAATACCAAGCTCATGCAGTAGGCTACAGCCCACAAGATGATAGTACTTTGTTCACCGTGAATTGGATCAAATATCAGCATACATGCTACCCTTATCTTTAAGATGCACAAAAGACTAGCTTCAAGAAATTCTACAGCAGCTGGCTATAACAGCTTTCCTCTCAAAACACAGACATGAATGATTTTTAAAATTGTGGTTGCATCAAATTAGTTTAATACAAAAAAGACAATTTAGCCCAGCCTATAGGGTAATGTAACACAGTCAGCTTTAGTCTGTATGATTTTAACAAGTAGCAATTTGTAGGTTGTTCAAGTGCGACCCACTACACTTATTCCAAGAACGATGGTCAAATTGCTATGGGGGCACAATCAGACGGTGATGTATTGCACCCCATCTCATGCAAGTGTACTCCACCAGTAAACTCATTCCAATTCTTTATCTGTTAGATCTCTCTGCTCGTGTGGATGCAGTGAAGGAGGAGAACCTGAAGCTGAAGTCAGAGAACCAGGTTCTGGGGCAGTACATCGAGAATCTCATGTCTGCGTCCAGTGTGTTCCAGACCACTGACACCAAGAGCAAACGGAAATGAGGCCACGTGTGGAACACAGTTATTTCCCCTCTAGAACAGACCTTTATCCCTCAAAGGCCAGTACACATAAGGCCCTGTTTACTTTTACCCAGCTTCCAATGTTCACTATCATAGTCTTTCCATGCATAGGATTATGCTGAGCTCTGAATATTTATTATTTTTTGTACATGATACTTTTTATTCCCCTCTGTTTTTTGCTTCTTCATTCCGTCCATTATCATACCGGCTACTTGTGGATAACACTAAAACAGACTGACCTGCTCTCTGCTGGCTGTTACAGAGTTAATGGAAGCATTTTGTAGTCTGTGGTCAGATATCCACAGTACTAATGCACATCAGGCTCTCTGTGCAGCTCTTTTAGTGGCCACTCAACAGCCCATCTGCATGTTTCTACTGCCAGAATAGTGCAGCATTTTCAACTGTGGTACAGTGATGTTTAGGTTTTTTAAAGAGCCATCCTGAAGACTAGTGCATTAACGTCCTATCTTTCAATACTTTTCCCTTTTTGCACTTCGTTGTCACGGATACACAGAGTAAAACGATGGAGAATGAAGCACAGGAGAAATGTTTGGCACAGAAGTGATCTGTTCTTATCTGAGTGCATGAGGTCCTCTTATTTATTCCAAAGACAATATGCATGACATTTAAAAGCTGATACTGATAGCCAGGGTGGGTGAATTAATGACAATGATAAACCATATGATGTTATGTGACCTTCTGTATTTGTTTATTTAACACTAACAATCTGTTTAGAACTGGATTTAATGGAAAAGTAAGAACTGTATTAGCAGGAGGCAATCAGCAGCTTACGCTATTAAGACGGTAAAGTTAAGAAATAAATTTTTGCCTTTAGTTTGAAAAAGTGAAAGGACAGATGGGATTGGAGAAGGTAGGTAATAAAGGGACTGTCTGGCTCTTACTGTAAGAAGAAAAAAGGGAGGACTGTTGAGTGATATTGATGCGGATTGGTGTAGTTCATTTATGAAAACCCTGTAGACTTTTCAGTTACTGTCACCTGCACCTTATGCACAAAGCATAGGCAAGAAATGCTTTATTCTATGGAAATCTGAGTGAATTCAGTGTTACTCAGTTACCACCTCAGTACCAAAATCTCACCCAGAGAGCAGAAATCAGAAAGCTGAACTATCTTGCAATAATACAAATCCACAGTGTCAGATCAAAAAAATTAAACACATTTCTTGGATGTTCAGAAATATAAATATTACAGATTGCTGTCTGCAAAAGTCTACATTTCTCAGAAACACACATACTCAAGAATTCAGCCTATGAAAGACAAAGAATGATACGGCTTTGTTGTTACAAGAGAATGATCATATACTGTAATGTTATTTATTTTATTTTGATGTACTTTAATACTGTATATTAATATTTTCCTTCAGGTATGTAACATAAGCCTGCAGACATCCAATGTAGATAACTGCCTTGTGTGTAAAATTGTATTTACTATTATACCTTTAACCTTTGTGTTAATAAAATTGTTTTTGCTTTTGCATTTGTCTTTGTGTGCACATACTGATGTTTTGTATTAAATGTTTATTTCCAAGAGCAATGTACAATTTACAAACATATGTAAACAAGAAGCTGCCCTTGTGTGGCAAAAACATGAACTAGAAAAGCAGAAAAACAAACAAAACTGTGTACATTGCTCAAGACAGACGTTTCTATTCTCAAAGTTGAAAAGTTCCTACGCATGAATCGACCTCATTTGAGACGATGGTTCGCAATAAGCATTCTGCGTGGTGCTGCTGCAGTTATTACTGAGGCTGTAATCACAAAGCATCCAGAGTACCAAAACTAATCATAAACTCGAAAACTGAAATTATATTTGAAATGCTCAAGTCACTTTGCTTTTTCTTCTTCACCTCGTCAGATTTGTGGGTTTAGATACCTTACAGAGAATTGATCTTTTGCTGGAATGGCTGCAGCAATGAAGAAATGTGGAGAAAATGGAAAAGAGTCTGTTTTTCTGTTTAGAACTAAAGGGAAAAGATTATATATGTCAGATATGTTTATGTACATTGACTCCATGCTACTCAGATGCTATGTGAATACAGATTCAGATCCCACAAGCCGAGCTCTCCTTCACTATAATCTGAGAAGAAACAACATGCTGGAAAGCAAGATCTTAATATCCTACATCAAACTCAATTGAACTGCTTCATTTTCCAAACAATATACAAACAATAAATATATTCAGTGCGCTTTTTGATCAATAACATTAAAACATAACTTAAAACAGAAAAAACTCGCTGACTCATTTTAAATAAGTTAAAGAACAATTCTTGAAATAATTATGAAATGTTATCTGAGGTGTGTTCTTTCTAAAAGATCTTTTTTTCCTATTATATCACAGTACTTAAACTAGCATTAGCAATTGTAACAACTGGCCTCAATGCTACTCCTTCAAAAAATCTCAAGAGAGGAAGTACAGCAGAGTTTTGATTGGTAGAGCTAAATCTGAAAAATAACCAGTAAGAACTAGTGGTGGAGAGGAAGACTGGAAAGAGCAGGAGGAGAAAGAGCTCCAGTGAAGGGCAGGACTGGTTGACTTTGCAAAGCCAGGGGCATGCAGCATTTAGAAAGGCAGGGAGGACAAGAAAAGGAGAAGAGGAGAAAACGAGGGACAAAGAGAAGGAAAAAGCCTTTTCAGTCTTTCCGTACTCTCCTTTTTCTCACAGCCTGTTTATGTCCATCTCCAGCATTCTGAATCCCCTCATCAGCATCCTTCATCTGCAGGAAACAAGGAGATACACATTAACTCTCAAAAGTCACAGTGCACTGTAATTTGATATTTCTCAACTCATATTTGCAAACGTGCAGATTCTATACTCTCAGTCCATACGAGATTTCTATTCGTAAGTAGGGTATTTTAAATTGAAACGTAAGAAAAAAAGTCAGAAGCATGGACTCAAACCTGTTGACACAAAATGTAACTGATGTAAATGAAAATTAGAGTGAATTAATGAAAATTAAAAGTAATTAAGCATATAACTGTGTAATTACATTTTACATAGTACAGAAAAATGACATTTAGAACTCCTGACCTAATAGCATTGAAGGAAGATGCAGGCTTTCGTCTTTTGCTGGTATTTAGTGTACGGATCTGTCAGAGTTCAAAACATTTTGGACTTTTAACTGACTTGGCCTTGACTAAAATCCTTCTACATTCAGTGAATCTAAACCTTAATTAGTTTATTTTATTGAAATAAATGATTGAACATTCTATTTTTTAACTACCAAAACAATCATAACACCTCCAATAAGTTACCAAATGTTTCAGTAGAAACAATTCTTAATGACACACACTGATTTCCAGACTTTGAGACACATTTACTTCAGAACAACAGGATCTAACCGCTTATCATGTGGCCATGAGGGACAGGGATGCAGTCTCACTTCCTGCTCTAAAATGGAGGGCTGTGGCAAAAATATTGACCATAGACTAAAATGCTTTGTGTTTTGTTTTTTTTATTAAAAAATTAAACTCACAATTAAACTACAACTTTTATCTTTACTGTAAAATAAATCAAAAAGACATTTTCAAAACAATACTGAAAAAATATATATTTTCACAAGTTGAAGTTTAGGGGTTTGGATTTGGGACAGACACCTTGTAATAGAAAATATCCTATAAATAATGATTTTGTATATATTAATCTCCATTAATGCCTTGGGTTTAGATAGATCAGAATCATTGTACATATCTCAGATCTGAATAGTTAAGTGGTTTTTAAATTATTTTTACTGTGGGACTGTAGTTTGAACTAATTTGGTAGAATGGCCCATACACTAGTATTCTTCATCTTCTGTCTTCAAGGCCAAACACTGCATTTACATTACATTTACGGCATTTGGCAGACGCTCTTATCCAGATCCAGATCTTACAATTTGATCATTTTACACAGGTAGGCTATGGTAGTGTTAGGAGTCTTGCCCAAGGACTCTTATTGGTATAGTGTAGGGTGCTTTCACAGGTAGGGGACTGAACCCAACTCTACAGCATGGAAGGCAGAGGTGCTACCCACTACACTATACCAACCACAACTGCACAGTTAAGAGCTTTCCCTTCTCTAAAGTGTGTGACACAACACATTTAAAAACAGGGCACAGCAGTGTTGTTGGCTGCCAGAACTGGGAGTGAAGAACTACAGCCTATATGGCTATACCCAGTACCTCATCATCTGAAGGTGTGTCATTTGACTTGCTAGCCTCCTCTTCCTCATCCTCATCTTCCTCCGCAGCAGGATCTCCTCCAGTAGCTTCAATTTCATCCTCAGTCCTGCTCTCCTTTTCTGCTGAGCAAGACATAGATAGAGAGAAAACTGTGTTCACAAAGAGCAATGAGCAAAGGTGCTAAAATAATCACAGCTTTCTGTGTTTTACTAATATGGTTTCACTGAGCATGTACTCCTGAGGTGTGTATATGTACAGGATGGGACCAAAAGAAAAAGCAAAGTGTCTTTAGCAGTGGCTAGTACGCTTTGACAAAGGCATATTATACTGAACGATACTGATTTTTCAAAGTAATCTATGCAACAAAATTAATGTAATGTGTAATGATTTCAGAACACTAAATTGAAATTTGTCTTATAAATCAGATTTAAAACAGCGTAATGAAATTTAAAACCATCACGGATACACCTTAGTTTTTTCTGAGGGTCTCATTTGCCATCTTTCATGTGAACTACTGTAAGTGATCAAAACTAGGCAACTAGATGCAACAAATCAGGAAAAAAAAAATGGGGGAAGGAGGTGGGGCTTATTTTTTGGACACACCCTTGCACAAATAAAATTTTCCTGAAAACTTTATCAATAAGGGTTTGTGATTTTTGGGACGATGTTTGGTTCGAGGGCAACAGGTAGGTGCAAAGAAACAGAATACAAAAACACAAGAAATGCAAGAATACAAAAATGAAAAATGTTACATTTATTTACTAACCAGTAGGTTCAGCAATCTCCTCTGCTATGCCTTGGTCCTCTTGCTTTCCTTTCTCCTGCTCCTCCTCTTCCACTTCTTCTTCCTCCTCTTCTACATCCTCAGTTTTGGACGGGTCAATTTTCTTGTAGACGTAATCATCATCAGACTTCTACAGCATACCGAAAGACATGGTAAAATTGCCACAACTGCATCCCAAGCAATTGAAAAGACTTACTTTAAGACTTACTTTAAGACTTACTTTAAGACTTACTTTAAGACTTACTTTAAGACTTACTTTAAGACTTACTTACTTTATCTTTTGAGAAGCTCTAATTTCTTAAAACAACCCAAACACATTACTGCAGAATTTCATGTTTTGGATGGAAATGTTTAACTAGTCTTTTACTATTTTGGATTTCTTTTCATTAGGATAGGCCAATGTTTCCATACTCCATTCTTGTTGAGCACATCTACTTCCAAACTGTGTTCTTTTCATGTTCTAACCCACTAAACCAGACAATGAAAGATTAGAAATGACCAGATACGCTTAAACCAGGCATGATTCAGCAAAGAAGACACAAAAGTACACAATGTATGGGGTCCTCAGGACTAGGATTATAAAGCTGTAGGTTAGTCCTCACCTTAGGCCAGCAGAAGAGCACACCTAGACCAATAGGCAATCCCACAGTCAGGATATAAATCACCCACAGCCACGGTCTCTCCTCTGCTGCCAGTGTCAGCTGACTGAACACCCCTGGCTGTGTGCAAGTGAGAGAAAGAGACAGATATACAGATGTGACGCAGCATTAGACAGAAGACTTTACCGTCTATTTGAAGAACACTGGGCCTGAGTGTACCTAGATAAACTATTTTCAAATGAAGCTATTTAGGTGTCTAGCAATGAAACGGGTGTATTTACAGGTGGAATTAAGGCAGTATTCCGGGAAGGGCTGCTCAATATGGATATGCAATCCCACATTGCAATTATGTTGCTTCATACGTTGACTGCAATATGCCTTCCAATATATTAAAACACATTACTTAACCCTTAATATGATGTGTTGAAGATGTACTTGCATTATGTTTTTAATCAAGATCGTGTTTTTTGGATCGTGTGAATGTTTTGATTACTTCTACAATATCAGTATTAAAACATCATGATTAATTACACAGAAAATTTGGCCTGACTAAAGCTCCCTTTGGAGAATGGGCATTCCATGTTGTTCCTTCTCTGCAGTTTAATCCACATTTTCCAGGTAAAATGGGCACTATTATACCAAAGACTTTAAATAGAAGGCGCAAGCAAAATGTCGTTATATTCTTCTTGGTAGGCCTAACCTGACTTTTTGCACAGGTGAGCATTTCCGATGTCGCACAACCTGCCACAGAACTTGGACAAGATTTTAGCTGCAGCAACATGCAATGAACGTATAAGACAGCTGTTAATGCACAGTCTACAGCGAGCTTAAGGAAGAATATACCGTATTGTAATATAGAACATTAATCTATGTAGCCCTTCTATTTTCCGCACTGTTTTTTCAGCAATAGTTCACATATTTTGTCACTGGATGCCATACTCGTTTGTCTGCTCACCTCATTGGCACTGGCCACCAGTTTCTTGAGCCCCCAGCTGTCTGCAGCCCAGCGGTCTGCTACCTCTTTGTCAGCAGTGATGATGAAGTTGTCAAAGTAAATGTCAGAAGTCATGGACCACAGCTCCAGCCCCACGGCCCGGAATGAAGTCATCTTAAACGGCTCCAGATCCTCGAAATAGTCTGGATTCAAAATCTTACGAGGACTCCACACACCCTGCGTTCACACAGACCACAGCATTCATTCACTGGAATTTTATGCCAAAAAACGACCTCTCTGAATATAAGACTATGCATAACTCACCCAAGATTATTATTACATTAAGTCTCCAAAATTAGACTGAACGTTTGTGTTTATGTAATATGTATTTGTTTACATTATTTAATGTTTTTGTAATCTGTAACATTTACATAAATATCTGTATTTTTTGTATTTAAATAAAATTAAGGGTACTAACATTGCTAATAATGAGTAAAACATCATGCTAATTTCAGTACATAAATTCCATACGCTGGTTCTCACATTTAGCATTTTCTCATACAATATACTAACCATCAGCCATATAGAATACATGGAGTTTTCCCCAACTTCAGAAGACAGTACCTGGTAGTTGGGGTTGTCTATGAGTGGGGCCTTCCACTTGCCCTTGTACTGGGGGTTACTGATGGTGGGGGGTTTCCACTCCCCACACCCAGGTGCAGTCTGACACGCAGTGTTTGGCACCTGAGGAGCCTCCCACTCACCATCCATCTCCTCATCCCTAGAAGAAAAAAAAATCTTATTTGGTCAGCATTTTTTTTGTATATACAGCAGCCACAAACATGAAAAAATAGGCTAATTTAAATGCTGTTTACCAGTCATCTGGCTTCTTTGCTGTAGGGTCTGGTACAAATTCTGGTTCATCATCCAGCCAACCATCCGGCTTCACTGCATCAGAATCTGGCACCATTGCTGGAGCATCCTCATCCCTACAAACAGACAAAGAGAGACAAAGAGAGAGAGTTTTCAGAAAAAAGAACACAATTGGAGAGGTAAAAAACAGGAAAAAACTAAACACTTGAATGCTTTCAGAAACTCCTCAGTTCAACACCAGTGACTTTGGCGACTTAGTTGTTTTTAGCAATTTAGAAGTGAAAAGCAGCAGCCATCTTACTAATCTTGTTATGATAGTTTATAACATAACACATCTGAGAGCCTGGCTAATCTGATGTCTGAAATAATATGTTTATTATACATATGTGCATGCTGGAGCATCTTTGTGAGTGTATAATGAAGAAGGGGTTGCAAGTACAGTGATGAAGGAGGCTTTGGTGAAGTGGCAGTGTTGAGGTAGACTTTTTTCCCTCAGCAATGTGAATTTGTAATGGCAGAAAATACACGGCAGCCCACAACAATTTTATGGACAAAAACTGACCCCTGCCATCTCCACCAACATTTCCTAATGCCCCCAAAGACCTCACCAATCATCAGGCTTGACTGCTTCTGGGTCAGGAATCTTTGCTCTCTCATCCCAGTCATCTGGTTTGGAGTCTTTGGGATCATCAATCTCTTTAGGTGGGTTCACTGGTGGAATCACGTCAGTCAGCAAGCTTCCTTTGCTAACGCTGGATTGGTCGATAAATATTTCGTAGCTATTATCTGGGTTAAGAACTTAGAAAAAAAGATTGTAATAAAAAGAACAATTACAGAATTACACAGATATAGAAATTAATTTTCAACTAAACCATCAATAATCCAGTAATTTATGACTTATTTTAGTCATGTTATCTTTACAATTACAATTTTCTTACAATTATACATCTTATACCACAGTCAATGTTCAGTGTTCAGAGAATAAGGTATCTTAGAAATATGTCAGGAAACACGGTAAAAGCACCTACCAAGGGTGTAGAGGTGAGTCTTCTTGTCAGAGTACACCTTTCTGAGGTCAGTGTCTGCTCGCTTGGCATGTTTCTCTTCAAAATCTCCATTGAGAGGGTTCTTGTGCCTGAAGATGAAGTGCAGTTTGTAGTCCTCTCCACACTTATCTGGTCCAAACATAATACTGTACGATGTGCGATCATGAAACTGCTCCTACAAACCCAAAGCAAAGTGTCATAATCCTTAAAATCACACATTTTAGGCATCATTTCTTTAAGCACGTTTAACTAAACAAACATACCAAATCCAAGTCAGGAGAGTCAGACAGTAGTTTGATGTAGGCACCCCCGCAGTCAATGCCATCCTGAAAATTGACCTCATACCTAAAGTAGAGACAATCTCGTCAAAAAATATGTAAGCAAAAAGATAATGTCAAACACATTTCGTTCCTAGAGCAAATAACTGTTCTTTTTTCACTGCAGTATTGGGTTCTGCTATTATTATTATTATCATTATTGACACTGCAACACAAACCAATGTGCATAATTTTGAAAAAAAAATGAAAATACCAAATATTCATTGATGTGTGCTGACAACTGGCAAAGATGTTGATTGTATTTATGCACATTGTGCAACTGTTCCATTTAGTCTTCATTTGCATTTTTTACATATTTTTTTTCTTGGTGTGGAATTTAACTGTATGAAAATAAGCCTTAATTGTACAGTGCCAATGCTGCATGCGGTATTCTGTCAGAAGAAACAGAAAACAGCCTTTTTTTTGAGAGAGCACATAGGGTAACGAGATAGTCAATAACAACAAACATAATAAATCTGACTTAAAACATTGTTATGGGTTTGGAAAAAATTTGTGACAACATACAACATTACGTCAATTTCCAGTTCTACTGTGGGTCTGTTTTCTTTTTGCCACACATTGTTTAAACCCTCACTGATTCCACCTCTACAACAGGTTGTTATGGTAACGGTAACTAGGAAATCCACTCACTGGACCACGAGCGGCCTGTCCTTGAAGATGTAAGGTTTGTTCAAAAGAGCTGCAATGGCATGGTGCTTCGCGCGAGACTTCAGTACCAAGCCCAGATCACCAGGCACTTTGTTCTCTTTCAGGGCCTCGATCTCCCACTTGCCTGAAAACATAAAACAGTGCCACTGAATGTTGCTTTACTGTTGACTAATTAAACCCAGAGCACAGAAAGAAAACACAGGAATGAGGGAAAAACCTGGCAGTGAATTGGTACTATGGTTTGGCATGACTATGGAATGGCACTATGGTTTACTTGCCACTAAAAGGACAGAAAAAAATATTACAGAAAAAAAGGTATAAAGACAGCTGTCTCAGCTGTGCCGTGTAAACCCACCATCATACTTAGCAATATCCTCATCAGCATCCTCTTTCATTGTTTTAGACTTCGTCCATCTGGAGAAAGAAAACGTTTTATTTATTTACTGTATATATTTGGTATTTACTATTATATAATAATTTGTAATAAGAACCATGTTTAACTTAAGTAAATGTTAAACATCTTCATTGTGCAAAACAATTACAAACAGAACTGAACAGTATACAGATGGGTCTAAACCTGTGGTGCTCACATATCAGCACACAGCAACTTCTCTGGCTCAAAAACAGAGCTGAATGTTGTTTCACATCCAAATTTAATTTGCCAAAAGTCATTTGTCTCATATGTGCGGCTTGTTCACTCGTGCTACATCTCTGAGAGTCAGTTCAGGAAATATCACTGTCAGTAATAGGGACTTCAGTGTTTTTTCTGGCTGGTTGACCCCGCTAGCTGACACACAGACCTGGTTAGCGGATTGCTATGCTAAAGGCTAAATCTAGGCTAAAGGCTTATGCCGAAAGCACCAGTTCCTTCTGCTCTCTCAGTATCAACTCAGGCTGTTAGTGACCACACAACAACAGATGAGTGAGTACTGAAAGAAGCAGCTCAGCCAGTCAAGCAGTTCTGTTAGCGTGTTCTTAACACCAAAAACTGTCCTTACAGATTCCCCATCGACATGTGAAGTTCTGTCTACTGGGGCGAATGTCTGCGACAGATATTGCGCTGCGGTGTCGATCATAGGTAACGTATCCACATCACTGATACCAACACTGCGTTTAAGTGCCAGTAATGGCGCAGATACCGATACAGCATCGGTGCAACACTGTAAAGTACAGACCTTTTTTGGCCAAGAAGAATAGCAACACCCACTTTGAGGCTTCAACACATGCCAGACTGCAATTTAGTTGTGGCTGTATTTGTTCATTTGCTTTCTTCTGATTGGTCTAACTCATCTACAGGCAGTACACAAACTGATTTTGATACAAAAACTATTGATCTTTCAGCTCTAGTGTACTTTATACTGTACTTTCATAGCACCTGCTGAGAGATCCATCATCGAATGTCTCAGAGAAGAAAACTTCACCAGTTGGTACAGGGGTCTTATACGTCACCTGCATAAAGATGTACAAGTTCAAAGATATACAAATTGATTAAAAAGTACTGTAAAAATACATAAAAACTTTTCGAAACATAACGGAAAATAACAATGTAAAATAACATTCCAAACGAAATAGAGTAACTTTGGCACCTCAGCGCATTTTATATGCACCATAACCTCTGACCTGAAAGGACACGTTAGCATCAGCTTTTACTTCACTGCTGTCATCCGCCTCCGAATCCACCTCCTCGTCCTCCATTTGTACCTCCTCTTCATCGTCCAGCTCTTCCTCCTGGGACCATGTTACCATGGCGACACACAGCAGCAAGAGACACGTCCAACCCCACCGCAGCTTCATCTACAGTGTAATAAAGGGAACAAAAGTCACTTAAATACCCAATATTAGATTGTATAATAGAGATCACTGGTGTGGATGTAAAACCAAACATTATTGTCTAGAGCTGAGTCACAGCAGAGTGAAGCCATCATTCAACATTATTTAGCCAGCTGTTTCCCCATCTCCAGTCCTGTATCCACCTGCACCACAGTTTCTTCTTGTCCTGCTCCAACACCCTAATACAGCTCCAGAAGGTGTTGATCATTAGCTATGATGTTACTCGTCTTTAGAGAAGGATGAAACTGTGCAGTGCAGATGAACCAGAGGCAGGAAAGACTAAATTAAGTGCATTTAGAGCAAATATATTGATTGGGTGATGGTCCATTCATTTGTAATGCAAATTCCCCAAAGCCTAGCTGCAGAGGGACACACAACCTAGTATTACACTTAACCTCAGTCAGCTTTTTCACGTTTGCACTCTGGGATGAAGCTGCTGAAAAGGTCACATTTTTGAGCCCTTAACTTTTATTGACGAATATGTAGCTATACGATAAACACGCATTTTCAGAAGTCACAACAGCTGTTCTGTTGAAATGAATCACCTTATTACACCCGAAATCTGAGCCTCAGTCTTCGCCTTATGATTTTTTAGGTTTATATTACGCAAATACGAACTTAATAACAACAGAAAATAAGCTCTATTCAGACTTACATCTTTTCCAATTAGCTGGCTAACAGAGCAAGCCAAGTTAGCTAGCGCTTAACTAGCTAATTCTACTATCGCGCTTTTCTAACGCAAGTCGAGCATGTTAGCCCTTTATTTTATTTTATCGTCAAAAGTCACAGTAAACAAAGAGAACAAACAAAGTACCAAACATGCATAGCCAAGCGTACAATTAGCTAACCTACGTTACATAAAACATCTTCACTCTACAACCTGAAAATACATAACCAGCTAGCTATTTAACTAACGTTGTCCTCAGTTTTCGTTTTCGGAATGGAAAAAAACAGGTTTCATGTAACTTACTCAACTCAGTTTTGTTTGTGCTTATGAAACAATAAACAATGGTGTATTATTTGCTCATTTATTAATGAATATGAAATTTGGCTAACTATAATTCTGTAAATTAGCTAGCAGGCAGCCTTCAGCTCCTCTGAACAGCGTCCCTTCTTCCTTTTTCGCCTCATCACTGATAAACGTCGCTAAACCGTTAGCTAAACCAGCATCTCCTAGCTTAGCTAGCGTTATGTATTTTTCGTTTTCGTTGCCTTAACTTCATAATGAGAGGAAGGTTAAACTCCAGAGGTACCAACTCAAACACCCAAGTTAAATTAAAGCATATAACCCTTATAGTTAGCTATCCAGTATGGATTAACCATCTTAGCCATTTGATGATGCTAAGCTAACGACGAAGCTGGTCAGCTCCTTTTTCGAATTTTCCCGTTCCACCTTAAATGGTGCAGCATTATCTTCTGGCGCCTGAGGGTGAGGCGCCAAAATGGAACTGCTGCACCATTTAAGGTGGAACGGGAAAATTCGATCAAGGACCTGGCGACTAGAGAGCCAATTTAGCCTCGCAGTCTAACGCTAATTTACCTCGCATAGCTAGCTAGCTAATTTAGATTATTAATCTGTCCGTGATAAACAGAGCGGTAAAGTTAGAACCCTGCTATTTAATTTAGGGGCTGCAAAAAAGCCACTAATCGTATTCGTGCACTCACCTTATTTATTCAGGTGATCTGCAATGTTTAATGTGCCTCTGGCTGTGAAACAGTGAGTTGTGCTTTGAATGGTTTTGTGCTGAGAGGAGCCACTTTGAATGAACTGAAGTGGGAGGGAAAAAATAACGCCTCTCCAGTTCAGATGTCAAAATAAAAGCATCTTTTCTCTGGAAGATCTAAAAACGAAAGAAAATAAAAAATATATATATATATTTATACTACCGCTCAAAAGTGATTGCTTTTAAAAATTTAAAAGCAATTTAATTGCAGATACATTTATAAAATGATTTTAATAGATGCCAATACTCTACAGGTTTCAACACAATTTGGAGAAAGCTCTAAAAATAAAGACATTTTCTGTGATGAACAGAACTGTGGATGGTTCCATAATAACTGAGAAAGCTGTAGCCTTGACAATGTACTAAAAATAATTATTTAAGTAATTTTAACTAATTTAAATAATTATTTACCATAAAACAATTAATACTGTAATATTGACACTTGTTACTCAAAACGGAGAAGAGTGAAGTCATTGTGGTGACTTTCTATTAAAACATGTAGGGTTACTGTCACAACACAAACAAATGCTCTGAGGTGTCTGTATGGGGGTTGTTGTCTTTTTAAATTTAGTTTCTTTGTTTTTTTCATGCCCTCATCTCTTCATAGTGTGTTTAAGAAAGCATGTTATTAAAAAATAATTTAATGAAATTCAATCTTCAGAAACATAAGATGTTCAAGAGAGACAATCATGAAAGAAACGGATGCTGAAAGAAAATAATGAGATAAATTCAAACTATAACAGGCCATTAATTAGCAAAAGAAAGCTTTTGGAATATGTTTAAAAATACTGGTATATTTAAAATTCAGTAAAAGACCAGGTTAGTGAACTTCCAGCTGCAGGACGGCTCAGCATTTTTCAGCTGTTCTGGGGTTAATTCTGAGTTCTTGCTGAGGTTTAACTTATGTGCAGTTATTTTTGAATGGCCTAATACTATATCCACTCTTAATGGTAGTGATTTGTTTAACATTTAAATAGTGTCCTCAGTTATGAGTTTATTACATTTACAAGATTACAATATTATTTTCTGAAGTGCAGAGTGGGGACCCTAAAGAATAAACCCTCTGCTGACACATTTTGTGAGTAAGCAGTTGCAGAGGCTTAGCAACAAATAATAATGACTTCCAAAACTACACAAAAAAACTGTTACTGCAAAAAAGAAATTGCCAAAAAAAGTAGAAAATTTGCTAATCAAACAAAGAAGCTGCTTGTGCTCTGAGAAGGATGGACTGTCCATCCCAGAGTCCAGACCTCAACATCACTGACTGTGTTTGGGATTACTCACATTGTTAGAAGTGGAAAATATAACCAACTTCTAAGACTGAACTTTGGAAGTGTGGAGGAACATCCCTGCAGATTTCTTGACTGAAAGCAAGTCTGCTGAAATAAATAAAAACCATAATTAAGGCAAAAGGGTGGACACATTGTTGAAAATGTTGATATTGATATTATATTTAGCTGTTGAGGCTTCTTTTTTTATTTTCTGCTTTGTTTTGTTGAGATTGAAAAGTGAACAATTCGTAGAAGTTGTAACTACATTTAAATAAATGAAGAGTGTATGGTACAGTATATATTTGTTAGTAATAGTATACTATATAGCTACCTCAGTAACTGCTGTGCTCACGTATGTTATGACTGCGTATATCTACATATCATAGCACGTTAAATATCTCTGCACCTTATTCTCACTACCTCATACTCAGAATTGAGTGCTGTCAGCGCTGCACTGTCCTGTCTGTTTACTGTCTAATGTCTGTTTTAATTATCGTCACGTTAGTTATAGCATTGTTTGTAGTTTAATGTTTGTACACTTAAGTCTGCACGTTTGCACTTTGTATGTCTGTTTTGTTCCGTGGTGCACCGTGCTGGTCCTAGAGGAACGTAATTTCGCTCCACTGTGTTCTTGTACACAAATGGATAGACAATAAAAGCCTCTTGATTTGACTTAAATAATGCACAGTGCAGTGTTTGCTTGCGCCGCTTTTTGCGTTTGCGCCCCCTGCTGGCAGTGGAAGAGAACAGAGAGAGAGAGAGAGAGAGAGAGAGAGAGAGAGAGAGAGAGAGAGAGAGAGAGAGAGAGAGAGAGAGAGAGAGAGCTGTCAACTTGCAACTTGACCCGGAGGAGAAGTACATCGGCCATTTTGGGATAAGAAGAAGGGGGCTTTTCTGTCACCACGTGAGGGAGGAGGGAGAGCCCGAAAAGGAGAGCAAAAAACCCGAGCAGAGTCGAGAGAGTATTTCGAAGACCGAGGGGCCAAAGCCGGGGAGCCGCAGCTGATACACACCCGCACTCATCTCATCTCACATGTGCTGAAGAACAGGAAAACGATGCCGACAGTCACCCTACCGCCTAAAGAAAACGCTCTCTTCAAGAGGATTTTGGTGAGTTTTATTTTTCCGTGCACTTAAGCCAGCCGATTCCTGCAGCTGCCCTGGATCCAATAATGTCAGCCGGCACTGTGTAACGTTAACCTGCCCGGCCGTCTCCGTCTCCTTTACCGTTCAACTACTGTAGGAGCTTCAGCCTCAGAGCGCAGCACAGCCTCATTGTCATGAGCCGAGCTTGAGTAGCAAAAGCCTCTGCGGCCTCGCTGCGAAAGGCAGATAAACACAAATCCCTGGGCCGCCGGGATCTGCCTCCTGTCAAATGGAGGTTAGGCAGCCAGCTAGCTGGGTAGCTAACATGCTGTGAACTTGCTATTCGCGGCTGACTTGCAAAGCCCGATGGTGCACGTCTTTGGTCAGGCGTTCGTGGATTGACTGTTTCTTTAGTTATGCAACATGCACCTAATAAATCTGTATATTTATTAGATGCATTGTATGTTTTAAATGCACAGATTAAATGCACATTTCTTCAGCAGTTTCTACTTATACTCGATAATTAAAGTCTCACCCTGATGGCCTGTGTCACCACACCAGTTAATGTTGCTTAGCTATCGCTAGCCAAAGTGTCTCCTTAGCTTTGCTTAGTAAACACCCTTAGTTAACGATCGCCCTTAGCTAGCTTTAATTAGGTTTACTTTAACGTATTACGTTTTAATTCTGTATGCTTTCGTTTTATTTCGCTTTAGTTTATCTAGTAATCGTAAGAATAAAATCGACTAGGATTGTATCTAGCGATATGCTAGCTAACGATCGAGTTAGCTAGCTAGCATAGGTAACTTTAAAACACTCGTCTAATTAATGAAGGAAGTTACCGTTAGCTTTACCCAGCTATACATACACGTTGCTTTTTCTTTTGTAGTTCACTGACATTAAAACAGTGAGGTGTTTTGCAGAACTATGACAACATTTTCATTTAACGCTCCGTTCTTGCTGCTGTTTGGGTGGGTGTGTTAGCTAGCTAACGCTAGCTGGTTACGGCTGCTGTTAGCATAACCTAGCTAAGTCTCTCGTTTAGCGCTTTGGTATTGTCTGGCGATCTAAATGCTCAGCAAGTATCACGTGTGTTTCAGTTTCTGTTAAGCTTGTAAATGATGTTCATCTGTTCAAGATTGCGCTGTGTGCTGTTTTAATTTAGGGTTTAGCTAGCGCAAGGCTAGGCTTGGTACCTGGGCCTGCTAGTAGGACGACTTATGTAGCTGTTAGCGTAGCTATAGCTAGTTAGCCAATAACGCTTCTGCTGGTTTGTTGGATAGATTTATAAAAAAACATTGAACTGTACTTTTTTAGTAATTTGGTCTGCTTTATTTAGAGAGGTTGCTTATTTATCGCACAGCTACTTTGTGTATGGAGACCTGGGCAGTATACCTGCAACTTACTGACCCTGCCGGTGTAGCTGAGACTTGACAGGGGCAGACTGATTGGGAGATGCACGCTGAGACAGGCATGGACTCTAATGACTGCACTGCCAGTTCAGTTCATTTTATTTAACCGCTCGTTTGCTGGTCAACGGAGATTCTTTTCTCTTAAAAGGTTTGCCAAAAACCTTTTGGTGAACTCCCTTCAAAAGCTCTGTCTGGCATGGAGGATTGCAGGCATTGCCTAAATAGAGAAACAGTTTATGACAGCTGGCTGCCTCATCCAATGCTCACTGTTTTAGTGATGGAAATTATGAACTTTACACCTTCAGAGATAAGTGTGAAAAAACCGCATAGCAAAGTGACGTCTTAAACAGCACTGCAAAATTAAAAGGGAATTCCACTGATGTTTTAATATTTCTGTATGGTTAAATGGTTAGGATGCAAACAGATGTTCAGAGTGGTTTGATGTGAGAAGCTCCTTCAAAAGAAATTTACTAAGTCATAATTGTTGACACTGGTGGTGATAGGAACCAGGCGTCCACGTTTAAACCTGTCAGTGTGGCTTCAAATCTTTAAATTATTGTTTCAGTAAAAAAGATATGCTGTGGAAAAAGCATTTACCAGCATTATATTCAACAAATACAAATAAATTCAATAATAATTCAATTTAACATTTAGATAAGTGCTCCAAAAATTCCGAGCTGATGCCTGCTCATAACTATGTGGGTGTGTCAGAATGTAAAATGATTGACGGTGGATTTTCTGTGTGTGTTTTGAGGAATCAGGACATTAACGTAATCCTGTGAAATTAAATGGTTTGGTCAAAATCATACAAGCTAATCTTGAACAGTTGGCTTGTTTTTGATTCATCAGTATTCTAATATTCTGCTAGCCATATTGTAGTGTAGTAACGTAACTGCAACGCTTGGGCTTCATTGGCAATCTTATATAATTTTTGCTTTCTTTGGTTGCCTGATCTGGTAGTCATGCGGACGCTCATGCTGGTCAGCTCTACTGATATGTTTTGTGACGCCATGGTCTACAGATCTGGAAAAATACAGGATAGCAGATAGGAAAGGACTTTCAGCCAGAATCTGGATCCAGCCTCTTACTGTTTTGAGATGATGCAGCTTCTATTCAGTCCTATACGTTTGTAGTTTCTTGTTGCTTATAGCAGTGGTTCTCAAACTGGTCCTTGAGGACATCTAGATGGTCCATGTTTTTGCTTATCTCTATGTGTTGGGATCAGGCAGAAATGTCGACCATTTGGGGGTCCCTGAGGACCAGTTTGAGAACCACTGACTTATCGTCTGCAGTCTGTGTGACTCAGAATGTGTTTTTCTTTTTCTGATCTTCTAGACCTTTTTATTATTTTTCTGACATTTGAAGATTTTTTTTTAAGATTGTTGCGTAACCAAACTTTCTGAATGTGTTAACCACTCCTCTTTTTACTTTTTTGTTTTTAGAGATGCTATGAGCACAAGCAATACAGAAATGGGCTGAAATTCTGCAAACAGATTTTGTCCAACCCCAAGTTCGCTGAGCATGGAGGTAAGACATTGACATTCTCCTCTGTACCAAGAGAGTATTCATGTGTGCACTGACCACCTATGGATTGACTAATTGATGATATTATTATTGTTGTTATTATTATTATTATTATTATTATTATTATTATTATACAAAGCGCATACACTGAGAGTTTAGCCTGTTTTAAACACACACAGTCCATACATGCCAACTTTACTCTGTTTGGCTGAATAAAATTGTGAAGTGTGAACATCAATACATTGAATTTTATTTTTATTTATTGTTTTCTTAATTGTCATTGTAAAATAGGCCCAGAGACCGTATCGTCCTACCCATCTACATCACCACCTTCTTTTAGTTTCAGAGCACGTGGTACAGGTTAGCAAACCTGCTGTAGCTTAGTTTCTCAGCATTTCTGCTTAGTACCTGGGTGCGCAGTGTGTTTTGACAGAAACTTCTTTATTGCCAGCTGTTCAAAGACAGCTGTTTGTAGGGGGCTGCATTAGACATAGCCGGTAAGTCAGACCAAGTGTTTTGTACAGCGTGAGCACATTAATCGTAGACTTAATCTGTATACAGTGGTCTGTTCAAATGTACAGTGTGAGCTATCACCAGATAACAAAATAGCAAGATTTCTAAAATCACAGTGTATGCTTGACTTTAGAGGACGTTCAACTGCAGTTCAGCAAGCCAAACAAAAGACTCCAACAAGACATGAAACTTGAAGCGTGAGCTCCTGGGATTAGTCTCAGATGTGATTACTGCTGTCAGTGTGCTACAGAGAGTGTCGTTGAAAGAGACAGATGAGAATCAAGACTATGAAACACACTTTACTAACAGCTGTTCAGAAGCGCTTTTGTGTTGTGGAACAAAATCCACTCTTCTCCACTTCAGCACTGCTTGATCCAAGGTAACTAATGTAATATAGCTAATGCACTTCATTTAGAATCAGCTAGATATTAAATAAAGTGCCTGTTAAGGTACATTGCACTCATCTAAAATACATGCGCTCGTACTCGGTCTAAAAAAAAAAACAGGAACAATGCATCTATGTTTGTTATCATCATAAACTGCTACAGTGCACATTCCTGATTGCATTATGGGTATCATAATGTGGTTGGTATAGTGTAGTGGGGAACACCTCTGCCTTCTACGCTGTAGACTGGGGTTCAATCCCCTGCCTGGGTAAGCACCCTACACTACACCAATATAAGTCCTTGGGCAAGACTCCTAACACTACCTTTGCCTACCTGTGTACAATGATCAAATTGTAAGTTGCTCTGGATAAGAGCATCTGCCAAATGGCATAAAAATGTAAACTAGTATCATCAGTACCTTTAGAGTGCTGAAAAACTGCGTGCATTGTTATGAAAGCAGGTTTAGACCAATTATAGACAGCCTGTAAACACAACATCCACCTTGGTGGAGAGTTCATATGCACATGACATAGTAAAAGCAAAACTGTTACTATGTGCATCATAATTGTGCACCTGCATTGTTTTAACACCAAAGGTTGCGAATGATCAAAATTAACTACTCACTCCAGCACTTCTCCTACCTGCCCCTCTAGTATCGTTAGTAAGTGGTACAGCATGGACAAATGAACTTGATGATCATAGTCATAGTTTTTCATCATTCAGTTTTGTTAGAAAACAAATAAGTACGAATACAGAACCGTGACCCCAGTACTGTGAGCTGAGTGTACCGTTACACCCCAGTGCTTCTTCATTACGGATAGATCTATGTGTTTTTTGCTATCCGTGAGATTATCAATATTCCGTTTATGCAGGAGTGATATTGGATTCTCTGTAGTTTACTGTAAGCTGCCTTTTTATTTTGATGTTTGTACACTGGTGCTTTCTGTGTGAATCAAGTGGTTTTTGGCCTCCTTGTTTGACCTCATGTTAATTTTGACAGTAGTCAAAAGTTTTGTTTTTTTTTCTCAAATGCCTTTAGAATTACATAATATTCTTACTGTTTATTGTGATCTTTGATGGAAAAAATAAGCACAACATTGCAAGACTGTAACAATTTCATATAATTATTATTTCTGACCATGTGCACCTGTTGAAACTTTTGGAAATTAGGACGATACTTTTGCTGCCATTTATGGTTCACTGATAAAAGGCACAAATATTTACTTTTATTAATTTTATTAACTTTTTATTAATTAATTTTATTAATTGCAAAATGCAAAGAAAAGATATTTCTGAACCCCTTTTTATAAATTAGACTAACTCCAGTATGAAACCTAATCTGAATGTTATGTGGTGAGGCTGCATTATGTATCACAGTGATTATAGTACTAAGTAATTCACTTTCATTTTGTATTGCTAGTTTAAGATAATTTAAGCAAATTATGTTGTCAGTTGTCATCATTTATTAATCTCTATAGAAAGTGTTATCATGTTTGACCCTGTGTGACCTTTGTAGAGACGCTGGCGATGAAGGGGCTGACACTCAACTGCCTGGGGAAGAAAGAAGAGGCCTATGAACTTGTACGCCGAGGGCTCCGAAACGACCTCAAGAGCCATGTCTGTATCCTTAAAACACCTGAAATGCACACATTCACAGGTTTTTTTTTGGTTGGCAGCAGTTCAGAATAATTAAGCGAGTGGATAAAATAAGCTTCCTATAAATAAATACGTTTGCTGAATCGCTGAAATTACCAGCATCAGCGGTGTGTTTTGCTCTATAGTAATACTTCTCATTCTACATACTTTGATAGACAAATTCACAGCATTGCAGTAGCTGGAAATAACTTTGGTTTTATCAAGAGAGTTGTGAAAGGAACTTGCCATTTAAAAGCTATATTTAAAAGACAGGATTGCAGTTTTAGATTTTAGATGCATAGCGTGAGCAGCAGGGCTTTGTTGTGGAAGTACGAAATGGTTTGAAGAGTCAAACTAGGAAAATGTGTTAACGTTAATAAAAAGTGTGGCGTCAATAATTTATCTCGTTAACATGTTATAAACATGTTAACTGTGACATCACTAGTTTATATACATTCACTCTCATAAAGTGTGTGTGTGTGTGTCTCTCTCTCTCTGATGCTGTTGCTGGGGACAATGGAACCAGGCCAAGATTCCTGCCCCGCGCCTGACTGTGATGTGTACTGACACCACCAGCTGATAACGCACATACACAGTACGGCGCTGTAACATGTTACATTTCGCCCCATATACAACAGTAGACAGTTCTTGTCATTATTGCTGTAAATATTTTTTTTTTTCCCCCTAATTCCAGTTCTAATTTTAGTGCTGCCGAAGTACGCATGGTTTTTTGTTTTTTTGTTTTTTTTTTTCCTCCCTCTCAGAATTTAGTTTTTCTAATGCTGTATACTATTATAGTAAATGAAGGCTCCTTTTAGCTGTTTGCTTCAAGGCAGGGTTTTGCTTGGCCTTAACATGGGTCCCCAGGCTGGCACGTGTACGGTCTGCTGCAGCGGTCGGATAAGAAGTACGATGAGGCTATTAAGTGTTACAGAAACGCCCTGAAATGGGACAAAGACAACCTGCAGATCCTCAGAGACCTCTCCCTGCTGCAGATTCAAATGAGGGACCTGGAGGGCTACAGGGTGAGTGTGTGTGTGTGTGTGTGTGTGAGTGTGAGTGAGATGATGATGATGATGGTGGTGGTAAGAGAGACACCTCTTCAACTGCAAGTCCTAATTAGAGAGCTTAAAGCTATGGAGTAAAATGACACTCATGGGTTTTTAATGTAAAACCTGAATAGACCTACTGTTAATTTTGGCCAGGCCTATTTGCTTTGGACAAAAGTGTCAGCCTAATGACTAAAGGCCAGTTTCCCAGAGCCAGAATCAGCTTAAGCCTGTACTGAAAAGAGTTCCCAAGGGTGATTCACCATTTGGTGCTGCAGTTTAGACTTTATCAAGACCTAAATGTAATATGCTTTGCATTGTATAGGTATTATGGATAAGTTTGTTTTTCTGTGTTGTGATAAAAGCTCTGGCTTAGCTGTTGCTTCTCACCATAAAATCTTTTCATTCGTGCGTGTGTAGGAGACCCGGTACCAGCTCCTGCAGCTGCGACCGGCTCAGCGGGCATCGTGGATCGGCTATGCCATTGCATACCACCTACTGGAGGACTATGAGATGGCAGCAAAGATTATCGAGGAGTTCCGGAAAACGCAACAGGTAAATGCTGCACTACAGGTGAACTTGCACAACGGGAGAAGTTGTTAATATACAAGAGTGTTTTAGATTATCATCATGATGACGACAGAGCCAGAGACCTGATAGATGACTGTTTATATTGTATGCTGAGTTACCCCTACTTTTTGACACAGTCATTTCATCAGAAACAGCTATCCACTAGCCATTGTATCTGCTACACCTACCGCATAGGTGCACTTTGTAGGTTTACAGTTACTGGCTGTGGCCCATCTGTTGCTGTGCACAGAATAGGTCACTCATTGTCTGGTTAGCAGTGGTCCCATGGTGATCTCTTTACTGCTAAACTGTGCAGTCACAGATGGTACAGTTGGTAACTGTAAACCTACAGAGTGCTCCCATGTGGTATGTGGTTATTGATATCAAGTGTAGGTAAAGGTTAAGAGTACTGTTGACCTAGCAGCTAAATTTATATGAACTAAAATAAAGGAACAGAGTCAGTGATTTGTTAAGACTTTCATGAGGTACTCCTGAGGGTGAGCCTGAAGAGAACGAGTAAGTGGGTTTGGATGGAGGCCAGAATAAAGGGATAATGGTGGTAGAGGTCAAGGGTGTGGTTGAATGTGCATTGTGTGGTGTGTAATCTGGCTATTGCCAGGGCGAGTTGCCCCGGGTTCCTGCGGTTCTGCAGGATTGCCAGTAGCACTCCCTCTTCCTGTCTTTGTCCCAGCATGCATTTCTGTTTTCTCAGGAAGCTGTGGGTCGGCACCTGCCGACACAAAACTGGGAAACTGGCTGCATTACCATTCAAAAAGTGCCTTATGTTCATTTGTGGATAATTACAAGTAATAATTACGTTAACTACATTTTATATGCACTTCTTCATCTGGGCACTTTAAAAAATTTTGGAACATCAATGGAAGACTTATGTCATTGTTTTAACCAGTGCAGTCCTGCTGTACTGTTCTGCTCATGACGTGCCTGTGAATGAGTGTACGCCATTTACTGTTTGGGGTATTCAGTAACCAAAGTCATGTACAGTTGAAGTCCAGTCAGTTACAGTCACACAAAAGAAATCCACGTGCATCCTAATATGGGCAGTGTGAAGAGGCTGAACAGGGAGAGCCATCGCCTCCTGGTTCTGCAGGGTTGAGACTTCTGTCTCTGGTGGGCTGGAGTCCAGCACAGTAATTACTAGAGGTATATTTAAGTGACAAACGCTTCTGGACCCTGGTCCTCCAGTTCCAGAACGGATGACCCCCTATGTAGAGTCATAAGGCGTTTTTCCAGTACTTGTGCCTGTTGCATGAAAGAAGTGGAGTTCTCTGGAGCCTGTGTGGTGGTCATGTGATTTTTCACGCAACACTGCTGTTAACACTAAACACAAAAACAGTAGCAACGATGGGGGAGCAATTCTAGCTTGTTTTATTCATTTCTTTTCTTTTCTTTCCCTTTTAAAAAAGGGTAACCAAATTCTGTTTAGGTGCTCAGTTGTTTAATTGGCAGTGAAAATGATGACACAGTACTTGGATCATGGATTAGTAACTGTACCATTCTATACCATTCTGTCTGGTGGAAAAATCACCTGTAGATTGTTTTTTTTATTAACTGTCTTTCTGTGGTGTGTGTGTGTGTGTGTGTGTGTGTGTGTGTGTGTGTGTGTGAGGCAGACGTCTCCAGATAAGGTGGATTATGAGTACAGTGAGTTGCTGCTGTATCAGAATCAGGTGCTGAGGGAAGCAGGGCTCCTCAAAGAGGCTCTGGAGCATCTCACCACCTACGAGAAACAAATCTGTGACAAGCTGGCTGTTGAGGAGACCAGAGGTACACACACCCACATGTGCATGCTTTTTCTATACCTCACTTATGTAGGGACATGGGAATTGGGAGTGCTGTGGGGGCTGCACGACTCCCAGCTGCAGTGGCTAAAAACAATAATAGAAAAATAACAATTTTAAGCATAGCAACGACCCATTAATGCTGTTTGTTGGGTAGAGTTTTTTATTTTGTGCTATTTTCATATGTTAAAATCTGCAGTAGCTATTTACTTTTTGAAGTTGACGCTACCTTTTTAGAGTGGGGTGCATCGCTTCCCTAGCCAACTTTTGGCTGCTTTGTGGACGTGTTATGGAAACACATTTCTGTGCGCTGACGCAGTCTTATATTGTTTTAAACATTTACATTTTCAGCCTGTGTAATTATCTCTCACTCCTATGTTTTTGTCAACAATTGTAACAATTTCCTGCTGGATGTGCATGTGTAGCTTAACTATGGGCGTGACACAAGTGGCTTTCGTGCCTCTTATCAACAATCTGATTGGTTGATGCTCTGCTTATAAAGTTAATCCAGCGAGAGCAAGCAGAGGCAGCCGGGTGTGCCACCAGCGTTTGCTTTGTTGGTCATATGTGCAATCTGTGCTGTTGTTGGAAATGTGCTATTTCATGTAAATAGTGATTAGCTTGACATCATGGTGTATCACCTATATGCTGCTAAACTAAAATACTTTCCTATGTTTCTGCGCTCGGGTACTCTTTTTATGACTCTGTGTAACATAAGTACTTTCTTAGTAGTGCTGCACAATATGGACAAAGTGCTAGTGATACTGTTATACTGTAATAACAATAATCTAAATTGTGTTTGTACCAAAATAATTAACCTTTGTTGGATTACTTGAGTGTTCAGCTAACTCTGTAAAAGGTGAAGATACTCACAACACATGCTAAATGTTATAATTAAATAAAAGGCTCATTTGCATATTGCCGCTTTCAGTGATACACTATATGGACAAAAGTATTAGAACACACCTCTTAATCATTAAATTCAGGTGTTTCATTCAGTCCCTTTGCCACATGTGTATAAAATCAAGCACGTAGCAATGCGGTCTGCCTTTACAAACATTTGTGAAAGAATGAGTCGTTCCAAAGAGCTCCGTGATTTTGAGTGTAGTACTGTAATAGGATGCCAACACAGCTACAAGTCAGTTTGCAAAATTTCTTCCCTCTTAGATATTCCACGATCAAGTTTGAGTGGTATTATTGAAAAGTGGAAGTGTTTAGGAACAATAGCAACTTAGCCATGAAGTGGTGGACCACTTAAAGTTACAAGTGCTGAGGCGCATAGTGCATAAAACGCACTAATGCTCTGCTGACTCAGTAGCTGCAGAGTTCCAAACCTCCTCTGCTATTAACATCAGCACAAAAACTGTTCACTGGGAGCTTCATGGTAAGGGTCTCCATGACCGAGCTGCTGTATGCAGGCCTTACGTCACCAAGTGCAATACCAAGCGTGAGATGGAGTGATGTAAAGCACATCGCCACTGGACTCTGAAGCAGTAGAAATGTATTCTGTGGAGTGACGAATCACACATCTCTATCTGGCAGCCTGATGGACTAGTCTGGGTTTAGCAAATACCAGGAGAACATTACCTGCCTGACTGCATTGTACCAACTGTAAAGTTTGGTGGAGGAGGGATAATGCTATGGGTTTTTTTTTTTAGGGGTTGGCCTAAATCCCTTAGTTCCAGTGAAGGGAAATCTTATAAAAAGTCATAAAAACTCCTGTAGGTGACCATACAGTGTAACAGCATCACAAAAGGCCCATATTACGATAGCGATTAACAAGCGTTATATTGTGCACTCCTAATTTATGCAAATTCCTGGCGAAAATGCGAAATAGGAAAACATAACTCATGCTTCCTTCATTCCTGATGGCCCCCAGACTTAAACAGATGTGGAGAGGGTGGGGCACAGATGAGTCTGAAATGACCTTACCCTTTTCCTGGCACTCTGCCAATTTGCTTGACTACTAATCTACTTACTTTTAGTGTGTTTACTGGCTCTGTAAATTAACACTATTACCAGAAAATGCTCACATACATTGAATCACAGGCTATGATGGTGTGTGTTGTTTGTGTAGGAGAGCTCCTGCTGAGTCTGCGGCGCTTTGAGGAGTCTGCTGATGTGTACAGAAGACTGCAGGAGAGAAACCCGGAGAACTGGTCCTATTACCACGGCCTGGAGAAAGCACTTAAGCCTGGTACTCACATCTGGTGTATCAGTTACAAATTAGAAGCTAAATACAGTCATCAAGAGTATAAATCTCTGCCTTCACAGCAGTTTGATTACAGTGGCGAAAAGAGTGATAAGGGGTGCGGGAGGGCCAATCATGCTGTCTTGGAGTCCTGGCCACTGATGGCTGTGGTATTGCTGGGCATCAAACTTGTAATGAAAATGGCCAACAATACAGCTGCACCACTCAGTTTATGGTTTACAAGTCCTTCGTAATCGTAATGAAATCGTACTATTACATTTTACTCTGATTCGATTAAATTCTGTTTTTCTAAGTTTCATCTAATTACTTTTTTTAATTTAGGCACAGTTCTGAATTATTTTTCAAATATACTAAATGCACAAATATGATTGGGGGAACAATTTACATGCTGATGGAATGTAGACAACAAGAACAATACACCAATGTCACCAGTGTTTTGTTTTTCATTTGAAAATAGCCCAGGAATTTAATTTTAACCAAAACATTTTAAACTTTTTAAATATTAGTAATATCACTTGGAACTGAATATTTCAAAATTGATGCAATTGAATCTCCACCTTCAGACTAAGACCTCACTCTGCATTAGTGCAATTTTTTTACCCCTAAGTAAACATGTGCCCTCTGACACTACCATGTAACCACCATGTCTATTTGCCTGTGTTTTGTAGCCACAACAGAAGAACGGCTGAAGATCTATGAGGAGGCCTGGGTAAAGTACCCTAAAGGCCTGGTGCCTCGCAGACTGCCTCTCAACTTTCTTTCTGGTTAGTGGCACATCATTTTCTAACTTTCTATTACTTTCATATGGGTTTGATGACAAAAGGTTTACAGGTTTCCGCAAAATGCTGACATTTTTTTTTCCTGTTATTTTATAAGGAGAGAAGTTTAGGGAGTGTCTGGATAAGTATTTAAGAATGAACTTCAGCAAAGGCTGCCCTCCAGTCTTTACTACTCTTAAACCCCTCTACCAGGACAAGGACAAGGTGAGGAACTATTCATACACTGAGGCAATTTCAGAGAGTGCAAGACACCACTTGATTAAGTGGGGGACAACCAAATATTTTGGTTATTGCTAAATAGTTGTAAAAGTATTGTATGTGAACAACCTACAAATCTCTGTTAAAAGTGAGGACTTTTACCAGGACTTGCTATTTACAAACATTTGAGCTAAAAGTGGCGTGAACTGGGGGAGGGATATATTGCTAAAAGGTCTTTATTAGTTCAGCCAAAACAATGAATGCAAGCAATTTTATGTTGCTTGAACCAGATGAGCCATCCAACTAAATACATAGTGTGAGATTCAAGAAATATGTCTGATCACTCTTAAAACTACAAAAAACACAATGTTATGGCTATATGAGAAGACGACCAAAAGCATGGTCTTTGTTTGTTTAACTACATTAACTTGCTGTGTAAGGAAAACAGCCAAAATCAGGTTCTACTGGGACTCAACAACAAAGGTGACAGTGGGATTTCATATCTATATGATCAAAGCCAGCTATGAAAATCTAAAATGTAATGATTTATTGACATGTATACCATTCATTTGCAGGTGGCAATAATTGAAGAATTAGTTGTAGGTTATGAAACATCTTTGAATAGCTGCCGAATGTTCCATCCAAACGGTAAGAACTTACAATTCTACAATGATTTTTTTTTGTGTATTTAATCATTCATGTGATGGGCTAGTGTGCTGTCTGGTTGTATTGTTTGCCACAGACGATGGGAAGGAGGAGCCACCCACCACATTACTATGGGTGCAGTACTTCCTGGCACAGCACTATGATCAGATTGGTCAGCAGACACTGGCTCTCGAGTACATCAACTCTGCAATAGAAAGCACGCCGACTCTCATTGAACTCTTTCTAGTTAAAGCTAAGATATATAAGGTATGAACATGCAAAACACGCTTAAACAGACAGACATGCATTTTTTCTGTACAGTTGTTCAACCAATTTAATTAAATGCTTAGCCATTTACCCAAACACTTTAAATGCTCCATAATGCAGGTTTTAAGATACATTGTAGTTGTAAGTAGTTAGTCATGTATTTGAATACATGTTTGTATATGTGTGGCGGGGGCGGGGATTGATGCCTGAATTTCACTTGAATTATGGGAGGATACTGTTTTTGCTCTATTTAAGTTAAATTCAATAGGTTTTTGAGCCAAAGCCATCATATCATGCAGTTCATTAAATGTGCATTTAGTAACCTGTGTGTAACATTACATACATAAAATGCTATCTACTTGTAAACATCTGTGTGTATAAAGACATTTTGCTGTTCTTGTCTCATCAACTTCTTCTCTTGTGCCTACAGCATGCTGGGAACATTCGGGAGGCAGCACGCTGGATGGATGAGGCCCAGGCGCTGGACACTGCTGATCGCTTCATTAACTCCAAATGCGCCAAGTACCTGCTCAAAGCAGGCCTGGTCAAAGAGGCCGAGGAGATGTGCTCCAAGTTCACGCGGGTGAGAGAGAAGTACATGGCAATTCCAGCCATAGTAATATCAGGATGCCTTAGAAAGAAGGAGAGAATTTGTCCTTTTTTTTCCAATTTAAAAAGGTTTTTGTTGAGAGTAACAATTGTCCCCGATGTTAATTGTTGAAAACTTTTTTGCCTGTCACAGTTACATTGATTGCATTTATCTGAGCTTATCACAATTATTTGAGCTCAATGCAGTTATTCTCCAGTTAACTTGCACAAGCATATGTTCATGTTGCGACATGCAGAATGTGAATTAGGTGTCTTTTCGTCTGTTGGGTTGAGGCAAGTATAAAAAAATCCATTTAATGAGACACATCATGGGTCTTAAGAAAACAACAATGGCTGATTTCCCGGACCCAGATTAAGCTTAACCCTACACTAAAAAAGGTTTTTAGTGGTAAATCACCATTGATGTTAGAATTTAATACAATACTAAGCTTAATGCATGTCCAGCAAACTGGCTCCAAAAGTTCTAACTGGTGCTTTAACATGGGGAGTAATGTATGTTTGTTTTTTGTTTTTTTGTTTGTTGGAACTGTATCTGTCATCAGCTGGGAAGCATATATAGCTAATATAGATAGTTAATACAGTTATCTAGTCAGCTGGTTTGGCCAGTTGGTTGTACTTTTATATAGTGAAGCAAAAGGCAATTAAATTTTTAATCACATACAGTGAACAAAAACAATTTAAACGATAATCATTGTTATTTATATGGAGGCTAAAATTTCACAATCATGACAGACCTTTGTAAATTTGTAAATACAAAATAAATTTTTAACTGGGTAAAAACTGTTTTGACACTGATTTATTTTATGTATTTATTTTTTATTTCCCCCCCCCACTTTGTGTCTGTTTCAGGAGGGGGCTTCTGCAGTCGAGAACCTGAACGAGATGCAGTGTATGTGGTTTCAGACCGAGTGTGCACTGGCATATAAATCCATGAAGAAATACGGAGATGCACTTAAAAAATGCCATGAGATCGAGAGGGTGAGTGTCTCTGCCATTTTTTTTCTTTGCCTGGATAAGGAGCCATTTGGTGAAATTTTGTGCCATTTTGAAGGATTAGCATTCATGTAAGTTGTGTAGATTTACAGTTTTTGAAGAGTAATTTTGTTTAGGTGTGTATGTGTGTAAGGGACACCCACCCAATATCATGATCATTATTCAGCCACTTTATATTTTAACATCTGTAAAAGTCTTCTTAAAGAGTTGAAGCAGCTTCTCATTCACCCTTGTTTTCATCAGATTCTACAGTAGCCAATTTGGAAGTAAACTTTTATCATAACTTTTACTACAGTAACGTTAACTTGATGAATCAACTTAATGGTGAAATAAGCTAACGTTAACATTAGCTAACAGTTCATGCAGTTGCATTCACATTCATATTTCTTTCTAAAGTAGGTTATGAATAGAAAAAAAGGAATTGTTTGAATTCTTATTGTTTGCAACTGACACAGTAGGCTACAACTTTTTGCGCCATACAGAGATTTATGAGGAAGTATAGACTTTGGTTTCTGAACATGTCCCCTTTTTCACGACACTCAAGCATATGTAATTAACTGCTATGTCGATTGGTTACATTAAATACAACCTTGTGTCTCCATCTGTAGCACTTTGTGGAGATAACGGACGATCAGTTTGACTTCCACACATACTGCATGCGGAAGATGACTCTTCGCTCCTATGTAGACCTGTTAAAACTAGAGGATGTGTTGCGCATGCATCCATTCTACTACAAAGCTGCAAGCACCGCCATCCAAATCTACCTCAACCTGCATGACAACCCACTCATCGATGACAGCAAGGAGCTACAGGCTGATACCGGTAAGAAAACATGCACAAACGCGTAGGCACCCAAGCACATTTTAGCCAGAGTGGAGGCAGGCAGTCACTGTCTGGTTGTGTGTGTGTTCCCATAGGGAATCTGTCTGACAAAGAGCTGAAGAAATTGCGGAATAAGCAACGGCGAGCACAGAAGAAAGCTCAACTGGAAGAAGAGAAGAAGAATGCGGAAAAAGAGAAACAGCTGAAGAACCAGAAGAAAAAGAAAGAGGATGATGATGAGGAGATTGGGGGACCTAAAGAGGAACTCATACCAGAAAAACTAGCTAAGGTGTGTGTGTGTGTGTGTGTGTGTGTGTGTGTGTGTGTGTGTGTGTGTGTGTGTGTGTACATATGTGGTCGTTTGAGTGGAGAACATGGTTTGGACCTCAGACCTGGCGGGGGGGAACTCCAGTGTCTCAATATGTGGAATTTAAATAATGAAAAAGCCAAAAGGGAACTTGGAATCTCTGTGTATTTTTAAAGTTTGTGTAGTAGCCAAAAGGGAACTGCTGAATCCGCATCTCCCTCTTTTGTTTTTGAAATCTCTTTCTAGGTGGAAAACCCATTAGATGAGGCTGTGAAGTTCCTGAATCCTTTAAAAAACCTGGTGAAAAATAAGATAGAGACTCACCTCCTGGCCTTCGAGATCTACTTCAGAAAAGGTGAAAGAAAATCTTTCACCACAAGAATTTATTGTTGCATGAACTTGATAGTAGCTAAATCAACTGATTTTTAAATTTAGATGTTTAAGCACAATAGTTGGAGCTTTTCCAAAATTCTCCTTTCATTTTTGATTGCGATGAAAGGCTCAGCCCTATTAAAGGTCAGTATGAAAACTTCTCCCTCCTTTATCTTTCAGAAAAGTTCTTGTTAATGTTGCAATCAGTGAAGAGGGCCTCTGCTATAGACCCTGATCACCCATGGCTTCACCAATGTCTAGTGCGTTTCTTCAAAAGAGGTAATTCTATCAGACGATTGATTAGGCTCTCATTTTGACTGAGAGTCTGTTGTTTGCCAGTATTTTTCCTGATTTCTAATATTTGTAGTTTGTTTCCTGTATTTGATTAAACTGAGTGTGTTGGCTGATGTGATCATGTTTGTGATTGGCAGTATCAGAGGCTAAAGACTTGGCAGAACCGGTCCGCACGGTTCTGAAGCAGGAAATCTCTCGGTTGTTAGGTGACAGCAATGCCAAGAGCTTTAACCAAGCTTTCCTCAGCAAGCACTCTGACTCTATCCCTCACCGATTTGCAGGTTCGTACATACACTCCAACACAAACACGGGTTCATTTTACATATCGTAGCTGTCCCATTAAAAAAAGGCAGAAGGCAAAATGTTCTTTTAATATAAGTTAGAGATTTTATTCCAAGCAATTTCAGAGCATTTCTCCTGGTCCACTCACCATTAAATCTTCACGCAGTGAAGTACAGCTGCTCAGCTGCTGTGTTCAAATGATGTAGAAAAATAAAAATTTAAAGATTTTTTTTAAATTTATTTATTTATTTTTTTTTGTACAGCAGATATGCAGGTGCAGACATAATGTGAGACTAACCTGTGCTTCTCTGCATTTCTCCTCTGTTTTCTCTTAAAGCTGCCAAAAGCATGTACTACTTAGACCCTTCAACACAGAAGAAGGCATTGGAACTTGCAACAGCACTGGACGAGTCACTTAATAGCAGGAGCATTCAGGTACATACTAGGCATAGCAACAGCTAATAGAATAAACAGTTCTACAGCCTGTTGTAGAACATCCATAATTCACTATACCTTTAGGAAATCAGTATTTCACCAAACGTGCCTTCACCCAAAAGCAAGAGTGCCCAGTCCTGGAGATAGACCACTCTACAAGGTTTAGCTTCAAACCTAATCTAACACACTTAATCTGGTAACAAAAGCCTTAACGGGCATCTGAATATTAGAGCCAGGTTGTTTGGATCTGAACTCTCTAGGGTGGTAGATCTCCCTCCTGGACCAGAATTAAGCACCCCTGCCCAAGAATGTTTGATTTCCGAATATGATATGGAAAAACGCTGACATGACTTTCACTGTGTTGATGATTTTGAAGGGTTGTAGAGCGCCTTGCGGTTGTTAAGTAGATTTTCCTTAGAAACCTTCTCTTCAAGTAAGATTGAACTGAGTAGCAATTTCAGGATACAAGTTCAATTGAGACTGTACACAGCGACAACCTCACTGGCTGTTCCACAAGGCCAGTGGTTCTCAACTCTTTGTATTCCTCTCCCCTCAGATGACCATTTCAACTTAGAAAAGGCTGGTAATTTAGCCGAGTAGTTGGATCAGAAACTTGCTTGTTTCCTGTCTTTCTCCACATTATTTGCTAATAAAATATTGCTAAATTGTTAGTATGTTGTTAACTGTTTAGTTCTTCTGGGGATCTCCTAGTTTACTGGAGTAGTCAAAATTACCTTACTTGAAGCTCTCATTGCAAAACTGCAAAAAAAAAAGATATATTTTTGTGCCAATAATTTTTTTTCCTCATTTTGATGTGATACAACAAAGGACCAGTAATTACGTCAAAAGTAAATACACTTCACCCGTGAGTCCAACTCTTTCAGACATAAATGGTCAGTTCTGTGTTGTCCTAAATGACTGCAGCATGCTTCTCTCTCTGCTCAGATCTGTACAGAGGTGTTGGAAAGTCTGCGTGACGGCAGCCTTGGAGACGCCATGGAGACGGCCGAATCGTATAGGGCAGAGTGTCATAAGATCTACCCGTACACACTGGCCTTCATGCCTCCAGGCTACGAGGAAAACATGAAGATTGCTGTTAACGGTGACATCTCCACAGAAACGGAAGAGCTAGCCAATGACATGTGAACACCTGAAATGGGGTGGGGCTGAGGGAGGAGGGGACGGAACAGGAGGTGGGGCAACAGCACCATTTTTAAAACACCCGAGACGGTTGCCTTTGATGACTCGTTTGCGTGCTGAGCTTCCTGCGTTCTCCCCCACCGGCTGAAATCACAATCAGGACCGAGAGACGATGAAGGTGTCTGCGGAGAAGAGGATACGGGGTGGGGGAGGGGAAGGGGGGAAAAGGAGAATAAAATGGCCATCTTATTTTTCTTTTTTTTAATGTTGCTGATGACTACTCTCTAACTGAAATGAATAGACAACACACCAACACCCTGTTGTGAAACGTGTCTAAAGACAGCGAGCTACAAACCGTTGGCTTAATTAACTGTGCAGAGGAAAAGGCAAACCTTATAGTCAACCACCAACCAAACCCACCTTACCCCCTCTGTTTTAAAACGTAATTTATATGGAAAAATAAAAACAGCATAAAACGAGTTGTGGAGTGTTTGGAGCGCGGACTTGGCTTGTGTTGGTGTGAAATGAAATTGGGACATTTTTGTTGGGGGCGCAGGCGACAGTTTTGGAATCTGAAGAAGGGCAGGGTGTAATGATGGGATCATGTAGAAGACGCTTGTTGAATGCGTTGGTGATGTTGTTCTTTAGTGCTGATCCAACTCCAGATTCATCATTTGTCATAGGGTTATGATTGGGGTTCGGGTAGTCAGAGCTAACCTTAACCCAAGCCTCTAGGGCAGTGGTTCCTACTCCTGTGTATTTGTGTTTTTGCTCATCTTAAAACACCTGGGGTTCACAAGACAAAAAGTCTCGGTATTTGGCCCATTTAAAATGAAGATTGTATATGATCTATTCTCTTGTTGGACAGTGGCTTTTAGTCTTAAATGGGGAGTTCCACTTATTTCTCAATGTCATAAATCAATTGTTGAGAAGTAAGCAAAGTCATTCAGAGTGGTTTGGTGTGAAATGGAATGCCATAAGACGTACCCGTACACACTGGCAATTATGCCTCCAGGTTACGAGGAAAACAAAGTAAAACTAAGATTAGCTTGATGTGAAATGGTTCATTGTAGAGAAACTTACCAACTGTACCACTGTGAAGACAAAATTAGTGATAGGAACCAGGGGTCACAATGTCTACAACGCAAATACAGCCATTTTATGTGAACCAACCAGTGAACCAACATGTCTTCTGAGTGTTGATGTGTAATGTTGACAGCAGTAAAATGTGAAATCATAAAATGTAAATCAGAAAAAGAAATTTTGCATATTATTTTGCCTCACAGTGCTCCCTGTGTACCTCTCTGCCACATTTTAGGCTCATTTCAAAACAGTTTCATCAGAAACAAGAAACTGGGCATCAGAAAATGTGTTTGTAACCATTTTTTGGAATAGCTTTCTGTGAGGTTGTTTTTAGAGGCATTAAATGCTTTGGACGTCTGATTCCCATCACCACCACTGTGAACAGCTCAAACAAAAGTTTCTCTAACTTCTGGGTTTCTCTAGAAAGGAGCGCTTAACATCAATCCACTTTGAATTACTTTGTTTATATCTTTTATTTACGCAGAAACTTAAAGAGGAACCCCGCTGATATTTTTAAGTCATCTGGTTAACTGAAAAGTCCTGCTTTGTGACCCCCTCCCCATAACCATTTCTTTAGGTTAGCATGGTGTAGGCATCTCAGAGCAGGGGAAAATTGAGCAGGGCAAGGATGCTCCAGCACCAGAGATGGGAACCACTGCTCTAGAGCCATTTCTCCTTCACCTTAAGCACTCGCTCCCTATCACTGGCGAGAGACCGTTAGATCAGCAGCTGTGGTAGAGCGTAATCAGGACCTTAGTTAACGCACAGGTGTATCTTCGCTCTCTCCTCTTGCTTTGGTCATTCTCCTTCGCTCATGCTCGCCCCTAATTCGGTTACAGTGTGAAATGAGTTTGTTGTATATGGATTTTTTTGTAATAAAAAAAAAGAAAGAAAAAAAAGAAATCAAAGAAAGAACACACACATTTGGTACCAGTCTGTGTACCTTGCAGTTTGTACACTGTTTGCCATTGTTGGTGGTAAAGTCAGAGGGCTGACAAAGCATTTTTAAGTTCAAGAGGTTCTTCCACAGCAATGTTCTGAAATGGCTCTTCCATCAAAAAAACATTTCACAGGAGCCCTTTTAGGACTGCAAGATGTACTATGTAAGCTTTTGTACAGATTTAGAACTTTTAAAGTTTGTATTGCTCTGACAAATCTTAATCATTTAATGGATTGAGCTGATGTGAAAAGCTTGTTTTTATGTCTTGCACATTCACTTCAAAATCTATGTGTAACACAGTGTGAAAATACGTATATTTAGTTTGGACCAGAGAACTGTTTCTGTAATTTTCTGTGCAACACCTAGATTTTGAGCTTGCTGTATAATGTAGATGCAACAGGCTTTGCACATAGTCCTTTTGCCTCTATGACTGCAGAATACACATTTTAAATGTTCAGAATCTCAGAAGTTTTACATAGTATGTCTTAACATCAAAATAGACCACTTCAAATCCCCATTGGCCTTTAGAGATCAATGTGCCAGGAAAAAAAATATGTAATTTGTGGTTTCTGATCCGGAACATGACGCGTCTTACTTTTCAGCTGTGCATTTTTGTCCTCTTGTCACAGAAGGGGTACCAAAAAGCAATACAATAAATTATCTCAAAACCCGTGGGGTGTGTGGAGTTTGTGCCTCAACTCATTGATGTCAGTGTAGTGTATTGGCGCTGGACTGCCACGCGAGGGTGCCACTGAGGCTGTGTGTGCTTTTGGTATGCATGGTGCAATAAAATGTACCCCAAACAACCTGAACTCTCAGTACATACAGCACATTTTATTACAGATACAGTGGGGACCAGTTGCATTCACACCGAGGACATATTTAAGTCTAGTTTGAGTTATAAAATTAATGAATCTGCATCTTATTTAGTTCTATTTCTCATGTCCTACATGCATTAAACTCTTAAAGATGGCTTTTCAAAGGTTCTTTAGTGAAAGAAATGGTTATATTTAGAACAAGGAGTTCTATATAGAACCTTTTCATACTGAAATGGTTCTTTGCATGGTGCAGTGGTTTTTCAGATTGATGGAGAATGTGTTGTTGATACAGGTTCTGTGTGGTTCTACATACAACTATAACACGTCAATCTGAAGAACTATTTCAGCATGCAAAAAATCATTTAACCATGAAATGGTTCTATATAGAATTCATGGTCCTAAACAGAACCATTGCTTTTACTAAAGAACCTTTGTTAATTCAGGCTTCCGTACCCCCCTGAATAGGTGATTTAGGCTAACAAAATATCCTGTTCTTTGAAAGCTGGTAGCATGTTCTGATATGGTGACCAAGGCTAACACAATATTCTACATACAGAAGTTGTGTGTAGTTACATATACTCAAGATTTTGGCAAATGATGATTATTTGTGCTCACATATATTTGGGAGGAATCTGCTTTTTACTCAGGTCATATTTAGTTACTTATTCCTTTTTTGTGTTGTTTTGCTACATAGGTTAATCTGTACTGCTTTGCAAGTGGTTACCATCTTAAATCTCCAAACTTAAGTTCCTATGATGGATGTACTAAGAGGTTCTACTGTAGTTCTGCGGACCTGACACTTTTCCCCCAGCTGCTTATTTTACTCAACTGGCGAGATGTGGTTCAACCTGTGGTTCGGGCCACTCCACCTCCCTCTGCTGCTGTTATGTTTCTTTAAGTGCACCTAACCTGTATCGACAGTCACAGTCCATTTTATCAGGCCTGCCTACCATACAGGTGCACTTTATACTTCTGCACATACTGTAGTCCATCTGTTTCTCTATATAATGTATCATCCTTTCTTTAGCCTGTTATTTAGGTGGTGGATCATTCTCAGCACTATAGTGACACTGACATGGTGCCTGAAATTAGTCCACCAACCGGAGATCTCCAGTCCTGTGGCCAGACACTAACCGCTGATGAAGGACTGAAGGATGACCAGCACAAACTGTGCAGCAACAGATGAGCTACTGTCTCTGTCTTTACATGTAGGTATACCAACAAGGTAGGAGTGTCAAACAGAGTGGAGAGTGATCCACTCATGCCAGCACAACACACACTAACACGCCACCATCATGTCAGTGTCACTGCAGTGCTGAGAATGATCCACCACCCAAATAATACCTGCTCTGTGGGGGTCCAGTGACAATCTAATTGTAAAACTCCACCTGCACGGTAAGTGGCCCTTATAAAATGGACAATGAGTGTAGATGTGAGGTATGTGTACCTCATAAAGGGAACGCTCTATGTTGCTATAATTGCAGGAAGCTGTACAAGTGTCAGAAAACATACATTCTACTGTACATTAAGGCTGAGCGATGAACCATTTTTATATAGAAATCTCAGTTTAAAATGGTGCAATTTTAATGACATCCTGCATTACAGTGAATGTTTTAAGTGGAGCAAAAAAAAATATATATATACATATATATATATATATATATATACATACATATATACATATATATAAATATATATACACATATATATATATATATATATAAATATATATATACACATATATATATATATATATATGAGTTAAATTGCAATAAATGCTGAAATACATTTCAAACACTAAAATGTATTTCAGAATATGTTGCCATATTGACCAAATATATTTTAAAATGGATTTATTTTTAAACGTATAGAGATATATTACAAATCGAAATGTAGCATACAAAAATAAACATGTGTAAACATATTTATCAAACAAATTACTGTTTGGAAAACATTTTGAAATGAATTATTAGCCAATGAACCTTTAACATGGCAAAAGCAAGTGTTCTAGGTATTGATGCACTGTGTAAAAGTTCAATGCAAAACAGAAGTCAGGGCCGTTCATTCAGTTCATGTAGTTATATCTGAAACCTTTGTTTAAACTACATACAATTGAAAAAATATAAAAACAAATACAAATGCATTTTATAATTATATAACAAATACATTTTTGGCTATTTTCATACATTGCAACAATATATTTGATGAATACATTAGGATTTTTTTCCATATGGGCTGGCCCACCACATTCAGCATCCAAGCCCCAAATCTGAAAAAAAAAGATGTGCTTGTCTTCTTGGCAAAAAGGTTTGCATCTAAATCGCTATATCGCAATATTGGACAGAAAAATACAATTCTACATTTTCCCCAGATCGTTGAGCTCTGCTCTTCACACTACTTCGTTTATTTTAACGAAAGCGTCCTAATCCAAACGGATTAGTAGTCCTGTAGCTACTGTGTAGTTTTGCATCACGTTACAGTGAAGCATGAAAAATCCCTACAGCATATAAAAATACTACACTTCATGTTTGAGGACGTTTATGAAAACTCTTGGCGCTGACAGGGAGCTGTAACACGTCTTCAGTCTAAACCATCTGTGTGTTTTAGCGGTAAGGTTAGCAGGCCGGCTGTAAACGTCACCAAACAGCCAGGGTTTCTGATGAGCAAACCGTGAGGACTAATTTCCTCTTCCTCTCCGCTCTGCGCTCCTCATTACTGTCTGTCCGCTCGTGCTGTCAGCTGTAGACAGAGAGGCAGCGAGGACTGCGCTGCTCTCATGTAGCTTGGCTGGGTTCTGCTCTCCTGAGGAGATGATGGAGTTCTCCAGCTGCCGCACCGTTAAAGTCATCGTGCTCGGAGACTCCGGTGTCGGGAAGACCTGCTTAACCTACCGCTTCTGCTCCGGAAACTTTCCCAGCAAAACAGAGGCGACCATCGGCGTCGACTTTCGGGAGAGAGTGGTGGACGTTGAAGGAGAGAAGCTGAAGGTAAAGTCATGATGTTTTGTAGAGTTTCAGGGTGAAGTAGCTCATACTGTAGAGTTTTTCATGCCAAAAGTAAACCTGAGCCAAAAAACCTTCAGTTCAGGACTACAGAACTGACCAAACATCTCCACAGGCTCAACTTCTGTGCTTCTTTACATAAATGAGAGCAGCAAGATGGTGAACAAGATGGTGCTTGAAGGTTCTTTAGTAAGCGCAATGGTTCCAGTTAGAACTATGAGTTCTGTATAGAACCATTTTATGCTTAAAGGGTTCTTTGCAGGGTGAAATGGTTCTTCAGATTGATGGAGAATTAATTGTTATACATAGCACCTTTTTGAAAATGGTTCTATACTGTACCAAAAAGGGCTTCAAGCTTGACATTGTGACAATAGAAGAACCACTTTTGGTGCTTTATAGAACCATTTTCCAAAAGGTTGTACATAGAATGATATATAACACATTCTCCATTAATCTGAAAGACTGTTTCAACCTGCAAAGATTCACTTAAGCATGAAATAATTCTATATAGAACTCATGGTTCTAAACAGAACCATTCCCTTTACTAAAAAACACTTGAAGAAGCATATTCTTTTAGGCACCTAAAAGCAGGGAGTCAAGTAAAAGTGTTACTAAAAGCAAAAAAAAACCTTTGTAGAACTGCAGTGGAACTTCTTAGTATATTCATTATCTGTCAGCCTAAGAATTAAACATTTTTAATCTCTGTTCTTTTCTTTTTGGGATCCATTAGTTCTAAAAGGATGTACTAACGTGAGAGGTGTGAGCAACAGTTAAGCACTCCAGGTTCTTAACCAACACAGCAGAATTAAACACATGCAAAAATCAGGGGACAAAAAAACTAAGCAGTAGATTGCTTTCATGTTTACTTGAGTTAAAACAAATGCATTATGATTTAATACCCCAAAAAGTACTAGTCTGTCACAGTTATAGTTCAGTACATGGGACTGAACTGATTAAGTGGAGATTGAACAAGTTACTGTCCAGTCGTGGTTAGTGAAGTTGAAGCCACATAGAATTGCAGTATAAATGAAGTATCAATATGGCCAAGTTGATGGTGTAACAAAGTGTAGACGGCACTTTCGACTAAAGAGCCTATGAAACTGCACTTAACAAGTTGCATGAGTGAAATCAGACCAGCTTAGACTAAAATTTACTGCCCTTTTTTTAGGTTATTCAAAACACGCTTAATTCATTTTGGTCTAAATTTCAACCTGAAGTGGCAGCAGCAGCAGAAGTGCGGCAAAGGAGCCTAAAAAATAAAGTTTTACTTTAGTGAAGTGAGTCTGAGAAATGCAGTTACTAAAACAACTTGAGTTAATAAAGTATCAAGTGGAACCCAAGTCCTGTGTTCCCTATAGAGCTACAGTGAAACTCAGCATGGGAACTGAAATGTGATAGGTGCGGTTCTTCTCTTTTGGGGTCGATTTGGTTGAAAATGACATGCTGAAGCAGTGAAGTTATGAGCTCTAAAGGCTAAGGGGTGTCAGTAACAGTAAAGCACTCCAGGAGTTGAACCAACACAACTGAATGAAATTAAACACACAAACAAAAAGATTCTGCTAAATGAGCCAAATATGAAGAACTAAAAGGGAAAGTAAGAAATAGATTGCTTGCAGATATGTTATGATTTGAGAACACTCCGAAAAGTACAAATCTTTGACACTTTAGGAGACTTAACGGCTTAAAAGGAACTAGTTACTATAGGAGCCTACACAAATGGACCACCGTTTTCTTTTGCCTAGATATAACAAGGTTGGATGAGGGAAGTCAGACAGGCTTGGATTGAACTGATTCTTATGCATTTATTATGGTCCCAAATCCTGGATGCCTCTTTAACATAAAGACACCCGAAGTGTGTGTTGGCAGAGAGAATGCAGGGTTTGTTTAGGGCTTTTCCAGTGTACTTTTAAAGGCGTAGTAAGAAACAGAATTGAATCTCATATTGTTTTTGTGGGGGTTTTGTGGCCTTCAAAAAGAGGATGTGAATCTTTTAGTTGTTGTGAAAAACTGTCTGTTGTTGCAGACATGAATCCATTGCCTTGTACCCAAAAAAATATAAAGGCTTAACTTTTCTTTTCCCAGAGAACTGCAGTGAACAATGTCTGCCTTTCTTCCACACAGTTCTACATTCTACACATTTGCCTGAGGTGATTCTGCTGTTGTCTATGCAGAGGGAGTCAGAACTGAGCTTGTGATCACAGTGTGTGGGTGGTCATGCGAGTGGGTTGTGCTGAGATAGTGGTGGAGTCTCTGTTTGAAGCACTAATATTATGTTGGCAGTTTTTTGTCCAAGTCAAAGGTGATCAGCTTGAGGATGTATTGTAAGAATGTCATATATTTTAAAAACAAATGAAGAGACACACTGTACCTTCCAAGACTGCAGGCAGACATGCTGTGGATGTTTATGTTGTATATTGTGGTGTCAAAGATGGCACAATATAACTTTTTCTTCTCTGATACTCATACAGAACCCTGAATATTGGTCAGTACTAATGTAATATCTTGTTTTCTAACTACAAAGCCGTGAAATGAGTTATTGAAGCATATCACTTAAGATGAGAATCTAAAAGTCATGCTCAAACTACTCAAACACTACCTCAGAGGAGGAAATACACAGCTAAGAACATACTATGGAAATGAAAATTGTCTGCAAAGCTTTTTTTCTTTTTCAGCTTCAGCAGGTAAAATGTTTATCGATAACTGAAAGTTGCGAAAACACGCATTGAAAGTGTACTTTTAATTTCGAGAAACTGATGTATTGGCAGACAAATTCAGTGCCGTGACAGATTTCCCTCACGTGCCTCTTGCATGAAACACAAACAACATTTATAGAGCGGTAGAGCTGGACTGAGGAGGAAACAAAAGCTTTTTAAAAGGAATGCTGCCACTTTTCAGCTCTTACAGAGAGAGATATCCAGAAAATGGAGAGATATGAGAAAATGAATGAATAAAAAATAAGCTACACAGAATGTCCTTATCGCTCTGTTATGGGAAGTCAGGGAGGCCAAAAGTTGTGACACTCATGAAATCAAAGATGCAAACACAGCTTTTTTGTAGGAAGTGACATCATTACACAAGCATAAAACACACATTTTCATTTCATCACTTGGAATTTGCACAGAAAGTGGAATGGGAACAGCTGCTGTGAATGTGTGCTATTTCAGGCTAAATTTGTTACAGGATCACATTGATTCTACACTGCTGTGCCTGATACACTCTTACAAGTGCCACATAGTCCAGCACAGCTAACGTGTCAGTGTCACTGCTTTGCTGAGATCCACCAACCAAATAATATCTGGTCAACAGCTGACTTGTGGTCAAAAAACAGTGATGAATGTGGTAGAGAGAGGCTGATATATTGTGCAGCAGCAGATGAGCTACAGTTTAAACCAGTGAGTGGATTTGAGAGCCAAAAGACGTTTAAAATTCCCAAATGGACACAAGTTGTATACAGTACTGTGCAAAAGCCAGAGGCCACTTTTTAGTTATTTAATTTTCTGTGAAGTACAAGTTATTCATTTTTTCAGTGTCAGAGGACAAAAAAACCTATTTAACAGAAAATTACACAGAACCATCAACAACACCTCCATAGTTTAGTCTTAGAAGTTGGTGGCATTTTTTGCTTGTTATGGTCTGTTGATTACATACATTCAATAGATGTTGAGTTCTGGACTCTGGGGTGGACAGTCTGTTGTTCTGAGAACACCAGCAGTTTCTTTGTTTGATTTGCGTAGTTTCTTCTTTTTTGTCTATTTCCTTTTCTCAGTAACAGCTTCTTGATGGCTACATCCTTTTAGACGCTTTCAGAGTGTTGAGTTGTCTTCTCACAATGGAAGGATGGACAAACACTTGTGGATTTCTCAGATCTGAAGCAAGAGTGGAGCTTTGTTTTCTCTAAAATATGAAAGCTTTAAGTGCTGTTTATCTGATGGTGGCAGTTTAGGTGGTCTACCAGGTCATGCACAGTTGTTACAAGTCCCATTTTCTTTATATCTTTTTAGAATTTTTGGGATTCCTCCTCTTCCACTTACAAGTGGATTGTCATATCTAATCTCCTCAGAAATATCTCCTAAAAACTGAATATCTTACTTAATGCCCTGTTTGACTGGATTGACTCTCTCTCTCTCTCTCTCTCTCTCTCTCTCTATCTCTATCTCTATCTTTATCTCTATCTCCAGTTGCAGTTATGGGACACAGCAGGTCAGGAGCGTTTCCGCAAGAGCATGGTACAGCACTACTACCGCGACGTACACGCCATCATCTTTGTCTATGACGTCACCAACACGGCTACTTTCCGCAACCTGCCTGTGTGGATGGAAGAGTGTCGGCAGCACTCGCTTGGACACGATGTACCCAGAGTTCTTGTTGGTAACAAGGTTGACCTGGCCACCTCTTCAGGCTCCTTCATGACCTTGGAGCAGGCGAGGCATTTAGCCGACGTCCATGGAATGTCCTTCTACCTGTGCTCAGCCAAAGGGGACAGTAAACCACAGGTGGATGCTATCTTCATGAGTCTGGCCCACCGACTGAAGAGGCAGGGAGGGTGGAGAAGGAAAGCCCCGTCAGTGGCTGGAAGTTTTAAGCTGCCCACAAAAGCCAAAGCGGAGAGAGACGCCAAGGAGAAATGGGCCTGCAGTTGCTGATGAAGGCCTAAAAAAAGGCATAATCTCACACATGATTGATCTCTTTCATCCAGAGAGAGTGATGGTTGCGATCTATGAATGACCCCCATCACTAATTTAATGAAGGGAGTCTAATTCTAGACTGTCAGTCTTTGCAGGATTTCAGCTGGAGACTTCAAATGCAGTCGAACCCGTCTCCCACTGGCCTTATATAACTAAGATGGTATCAGAAAGATTATTGTAGGGTATGTGTGTCATTAGGGTTAATATGAGAGTAACTGGTTTGCCTTTGAAAGATCTAGCTTTGGAGTTTTATTACTGAAGGGGAAGACATTGTGTTTTTTACAGAAGTGTTCCTGACACTTCACACCACAAACACTGTTGTTTAATAAAGGAGCTGAACTCCTATACAACCACATAAAAAGTCCAAAAATTCCCCCTTACATTAGTCCAGCTGCTATTGACAGCGTGTTGAGTAACTTCATGGACTGAAGTTGGCTTTATTCTGTTGTACTTCACTATGTGAAAGTACAGGTCCATGCAAAAGTCTGAACGCCCCAGGTCAAATTGCACGTTTTGTTCGTTCATTTGAAAATAAGTTAATGCATCCTCTACGGGATGTGGTATGGGTTTTTCTGCAGACTTTACTGCACAATTTCTGTTTATTTGCTGAGTTTAACGTATTGGAAATAAATAAAGTGCTGTAACTTAAGTGCTGTAATTCAGCAAATAAGCAGTAATTGTGCAGTAGTATGTTCTCTGCAGAGGATGTGTTAACATATTTTTACCAAAACATATCATTCGACCACAATTCACCCAAACTTTTGCATACTACTGTATGTCCCTCAAATTGTAACTCAGAGCTTCAGCTAAATGTGTAAATAGCATGACACTCAAAAGACTTAAAATCAAATTGTTATAAAGCTAGCTCAGTTCCTTTGTGTATTTTAAGGACTTGTTGACCTGAGAATAAAATATCTAGACATTGCTGACTCTTCCATGTTTTCTTTTTTTCCTCAATAAATTTTTCTGCTAGTGTGTGTGTGTGTGTGTGTGTGTGTGAGTGTGTGAGTGAGAGAGAGAGAGGTAGAGGTAGAAGGGGAGAGAGAGAGAGGGGAGAGATGGTTTAAATTTAGGAAGCTGATATGCCCTGATTTACTGATAATTAACATTAAAATACAATTTTTCATGCTTTAAGATTTATTTGTTTGTCTGCCTATGTATGTACATATGTACATAGGTATGTGTGCATGTCTTGTTTAAGACAGTTTTAAGCATATGTTAAATTCATTTAAAATGTAGTCCAAGTAATTAAGCGACAATGTGTTTTGAGTCTGTCCATCTGCAAAGGGGAAGCTTTAACCTCAGTGTTACTAATTACTAGAAATCTCTTTCATTTTATGAATGGTGATTCTCTATGAGGCCTGTTATGCAGCCATGATGAGTTTCAGGGGCTTTTTGCCTTCACTCTTGTCCTCAATAACTGGAATGCATATTTAATGGAGTTTCAGTCAGGTGACTGACCTGGCCAGTCAAGAACTTTCCACCTTTCAGCCCTGAAAAACTCCAAGAATTAATTAGTACTTTGTTTCGCCTCACCAATACTGAGTTTTGAGGCATTTGTTTGGATCTGAGCACCTCACTCACTAGTTCACTTCAGCCTGTAATGTAAATAGGGAAACCTCTGTTATCTTTTATCTTGTTAGCTGTTCAACCTGGTTGTAGTTAAGAGAAGTTGTCAGACCCGCATTCTTACTTCATCAGTACACTCGGTGGTCCATGTGAGCAACATTACAGGCAAAGATTATTCCATGCAGATCATTCATATGCAAAATAGTACTCAAAGAACACTGTCTTTTTCTGATTCATGGCTATTCTATCAAAGTCGATATTACACACAAGAACTCAGAAGACATGTAGGTTCACTGGTCATTTTGGATAGTAAATAAAATGGCTGTATTTTTGTTATATATGTCACAACCCCTGGTTCTTATGACCACCGTTATACAGAAAATCTGAGTCATTCAAGTCTGCTTAGTACACAGCAAATCTACTTTTTTCTGGTTTTGTTCTTTTGTGGAGTTGTTATGATATATTTACCATAGTGGTTGCTATATGTAGACCTGTATAAGCATGTGTGTATGTTACTGTAGTCTGTTTGCACTATATGGCACGCACATGTTGAGGTAAGAGGGCATATAAGGACAAGAGGTCACAAAGGATGTGTCTTTTCCACTGAATGCTCCACACCTGTGCTGAGAGCTCATAACTTATGGAGTTCCAGAGTTTACTAAAGAACACACACACACACAGAGCCCTGGTGATACATTCAACACACTGCTGGAGAGAGAGAGAGAGAGAGCAGTAGCTGATGTGGCTCTACATCCTGTCACAAGCCTGATGATTAGCACTGGGACTAAGTTAAGGGGAAGGAAATATGGCCATTTTATTTATTATCCAAAATAACCAGTGAACTTACACGAGTTTTTATGCAGTGCTGCTTGAAAGTTGGTAAACCGTGTATCAGTTTGTAAGTTTCTACATGAATGTGACCTAAAAAATAAATAAGCATTTAAGTCATAACAATAGAACCCAAGAGAACCCAGTAAAACAAATAACACAAACAATTATATAGTTTTCATTCTGAATGTCCTGTTGGCAAAAGTATATGAACCTCAAAAATGATCTGTTTGATGTAGGTGAAAAATACGGTCTAAAGGTTCAATCAGTTGAATGGCATTCAACTGTGATTGTGGCTGAACATCAATCTGAGTCTTCACCATCAAAGTCTGGTTTTTTACCAGATACATCTGTTAGAGCATGACGTCTTCATCAAAGGAGATTTCTGAAAATTAGTTGCCAATGCTCAATAGGCTGGAAGAATTCCAGAACTAGTTCTGATGAGTTTGGACTTCACCAATCCACTGACAGGAAGTTAATGTACAAACGGTGGAAAATCAAAACCAATGTTACCCTTCCCATGAGAAGTCACTCAACATAAATGACTCCAAGTACGGTGTAGAATATTCTGGGTAATCACAAAGAACCCCAGGGTAATATCTAAGGATCTGTAAGCCTTAGAACTCTGCATTCCAGCATATAAACCCAGCTGTGAAACATGACTGTGGCAGTATTGCAGTTTGGGGGTGTTTTGATGCTGTTGGACCAATAGAAATGTTGAGAAAAAACCTAAAGTGTGGCATTGATTCAAGAAAGCTCAGAAACATAACACAGTTGAAGCAATTCTGAAAAGAGGAATGGACCAACATTTCTCTAAGTGGATATACAGGGCTAATCGACAGGTAAAGGATCAGTTAGGTTGAAGTGATTCTGATTTCTGAAAACAAAGGTGCACATACTTTTTTCCAGCAAAGACATTTAAGGTTAGATTACTTAATTCAATAAGTGAATGAAAAATTATATATTTTTTGTGTTATCTGTTTAATTAGGTGCTCTTTATCTGTTATGATGTTTTAAATAATGGTCTGATAATATTACAAATGATGAAGGTTTCACAAACCTTTAAGCAGCACTGTTTGTAATGTTCATAATGGTGAAATCATGGTTAAAAAAATGTTTTTCTAGCTGACTATTTTACCATTCAATGCCCTGCATGTACCTCTCAGCCCGAATGGCTTTTAAGAATATGCTTCATACAAAAATCTAATCGAAGAACAATATCACAGGCATCAAGCAGCACATTTGGAACTACTTCTTGTAATGGTTTTTAAGAGAGAGTCTTTGGATGCAATAAACACTCAAGACGTCTGATGCCTATCACCACAACCGTGAACAATACTGACTCTAAATGTAGTCGATCAGCCAGAGTTTCTTCAGTTTTACAAAGGAAACATGAGGCTAATCTAACAAGCAATGGAAGCTTTTAGCCACCAGGTTAGTGCACACTAACCTCAAACTGCTTCAAATTGTTAATAACCTCAGATAGACTTGCTTATATGGTTTCAGACACTGTTATCCAGTTATACATTTGATTTTTGAACTATTGCTTTAAAATGCACCCTTGACCATCACAGGAGAGTTTCATCCAAGGCTTAATTAAGTTGTAGCCTCTACTGTCCATTATCGGCTGTGAGAAGTTGCCCCCTCATCTGAATACATGCATATGTAGAGAAAAGCAAGACAAACACTGACTATAGAAAATATAAAAAAATACACTTAACACTTTTAACTTTACATGACTTTGTAATGCATTATTTAGTTCAACAAACCTCTGAATGTAAATATACACCTACATATTACCTACTGCAGGGCTAACAGCACTAGTCTGCTGTTAACTATTATAACACGTAAGCTGCCTACAGTGAGGCAGTTTGTGAACAGAGACAATGTACCGCGTGCCGGGACAATGGCTAGGATGAAGGGGCATCTGAACAGATTTTCCTCTTCTTCTTTATTGTCAGTAGATGTTCATTTTGTGTATTTTAAATTTGATTAAAGGATTTAAGTCCACATTTTACCTGTTTCAGAGCAGATTCAATCATATTATCAATTCAGCTGTCATAGCTTGATACAGTGAAATTTCTGTAATTGAAATAACACATTTGTGTGTTCTTCATTATGTCACATTTTCTTTTCAGAATAGAACTTAAATTAGCTGTGAGTAATTGACACTAGATGGCGCACTACTGTCATCTTTGTGCAAATCTTGTTTCCCCTGGACTCATCAAGAATTTTTGTCCATCCATCCATCCATCCATCCAGTCTATCTATTTTAAAAAGCTAAAGCTTTTGCAGGAAAAGGTAAAAAGGCCAAATGTTTTGGTTGCTGAGGTCAAGATTAGGGTTGAGTTAAAGGGGAATTCCTCAGATTTTCCACAGTTTCCTCATAATTAAATGGTTGAAATGTAAACAAAGCGTGGAGAGTGCTTTGATGTGAAATGCTTTTTTCTCCAGAAAGGTCAGAATTGTTCACAGTCCTGGTGACAGAAACCAGATGTCTAAAGCATTTAAGGCCTCTAAAAGCTACATCACAAATTGACTACATGAAATGGAATATCAGGCCATAGACATAGTTGTATGATAGTTTTGAGCTAAGCTTTTTGCCTAAAACATGTTTAATAAACATTCTTGGCCACAGTTCTAGTCCCCTTTTTATTCTACCATCATCAACATACAAATAAGAACTCAGAAGATATGTGTAGGCTCACTGGTTGATTTGGAAATAAAATAGTGATATATGCATTCTAGACATAGTGACCCCTGGTTCCCATCACCACCCTTCTGAATGAATGTTTGCATTGCAATGATTTTAATAAATAAATAAATCTTTAATAATAAATACATCTAGACAAATTTCAAAGCTTGGTCGCCAGTCCATCGCAGGGCAATTAAGAATTCAGATCTTTGATAATTGAAAGGATTATGTTATGATATATTTAAGATTAAGGGCATTAATTAAGATAGTAACAGGCTAAATATATTTTCGCTGTGGGGACAAAACTTTTCCATTTTTTATTCCTGTTTTCCATTTCTGACGCAACTTCAAATTGCCAGTTGTCCTTTACACGCTATCAAAATTTCATGATGAATGGACCAGTAAAAATGGTCCAAAATTACTTGTGTTACATAATTTCTCCATTAATGTCCATTATCTTGTAAAATTGCCTTTTTGGTAAGAACAAGGGTTTGTGCCAAAAGCAGTGATATACAAAATCATCATTCATAGGGTTCTTGCTATTCGGAGGTGACTGTCCCAAACCCTGACCCTTAAATTTGAATTGTTTTTATTTCAAGATGTTTTTTTATTGCTTTAAAAGTGAAGCTGAAATATCTGGATTTATCATGAGTTTAATTTTTAAATGAAAAAATGTTATTCAAAAAATGCTGTCTCACGTTTTTATATCTTTAGTCTTTAGTCTGAGTTTTAGTCTGAAAGCGGAACCTCATTTTTGACACACCCCTGCATTTTAGAGCAGGAAGTGAGACTGCATCCCTGTCCCTCATGACCAATTGGTGAGCAGTTAGATCCCATTTTGAAGTAAATGTGTTCCAAAGTCTGAAAACCAGTGTAACATTAACAATTATCACAACTGAAACACATATTTTCTGCAATTAAGTGAACTATTTTGTGTTTAATGAAAAAAATTATGATTCATGCATGTGCAACTGTTCAAAGCTATTCTTGCTAGTCATGTACTGGCTAGCACCGAGTTTCTTGGTGTTCATCTAGCGGAGAACCTCACCTGGACCCTGAACACCAGCTTCATAGCCAGGAAAGCCCAGCAGCGTCTCTATTTCATGCAGAAGTTAAGGAAAGCTCATCTCCCACCCACCATCCTTACCACCTTCTACAGAGGCACTATAGAGAGCATCCTGAGCAGCTGCATTACTGCCTGGTTTGGGAATTTCACCGCCTCCGACCGCAGGACCCTGCAGCAAATACTGAAGGCAGCCGAAAAGATCAACGGGGTCTCTCTTCCCTCCATCACAGACATTTACACCACACGCTGCATCCAAAAAGCCACTAGCATTGTGACTGACCCCACACACCCCGCACACGACCCGTTCTCTCTTCTGTCATCTGCAGCATTCCAGCTCTCACAGCCAGACTGTGCAACACCTTCTTTCCACAAGCCATCAGATTCCTCAACTCTCACAGACTGAACTGAGGGACACCGACATAGACATAGACACAGTTATAAGACCACCTCACTCCCCGCTTTTGTGGCTCCAGTTCATGTCTATGACGCAGTATTGGCTGCTAGAATTACTGTGTCAACCAAATACTGTATTCCATTGCTGTTCTGGCTGCTATCCCAGTGACTGCTACGCTCATATATGCTAGGCTATCTGCTAATCTGCTAATATGTCATAGTATGTTACATCCTCTTTTGTACACTTCCACATACTCTCAGTACCGTGTACTGCCTGTGTTCTGTTTTGTATTTATTATAAGTCTTTTGTATTTATTTATTGTATTGTATTGTCTGCACTATGTATATTGTATTGTCTTGCACTTGTGTTCCTGTGTTGCACCATGGTCCTGGAGGAATGTTGTTTCGTTTCACTGTGTACTTGTATAAAGCTGAAATGACAATAAATTGTCACTACAGAAACATTCGGCAAAGCTTTGGTAGTGTTATGATTGTTTTGTTAGTGACAAAGTGGAATGTTTAGTCATTTATTTTAATTAACATGGTAGATGCTATCAGAAAAAAGGTTGTATGTGTATTTTTTATTCATCAAGGTACAAACAATAATGCATTTACAAAGTTACAACAGATGCTTTAAGGTCCTTTTTTCTCAGGGCAAAGAAACAAATTTGTACATTTTCATAACCTAATGTTTAAACACAGAGCAATGAAATAAAAGACTGGAGACGAGACGGAGTGTATGGAGTCAATACAACTTAAAAAAACCTGATCGCAATGGAATGTGATATAATTATCTTCCTTTAATACTAAAGGTACTGAAGACATATCCTTGGGGGTCCAGTGACATGAGGGGCACCACGACAGTGACAGTTCAGGATCTTTTTTTTTCTAAAAGTGTGGGGTCACTCAAAACAAAAGGATTTTAGTTTAAAGTCAAGATCAGTTAAAAATCAGAAATGTGTTTACAACTCTGAATCAATTCGGTGGAATGATCCATACGCTGAGAGAGAGAGAGAGAGAGAGAGAGAGAAAGAGAGAGGGAGAGAGAGAGAGAGAGGGACAGAGAGAGACTTTCCATTTGTTGTTTGTGTTTGAAAGGAAGTGAGGAAATAGTTTGTCTTGTTCTTTGTAGACAGGACGGCTGGTGTTGTACGATGATGATGATGATGATAAACTGTGTGTGATAAACTGTGTGTGTGTGTGTGTGTGTGTGTGTGTGCGTGTGTGTGTGTGTGTGGATCTGATTCAGCTTTAGCTCTGATGAATCAGCTGAAGCGTTAAAGCGCGCGCTGCTTGCTGACCCCGCCACAATCCACAGGGATGCCATTTTAGTGCGGATCTCCGGACGCATAACCGAGCATCATGCGCCTCCTCCTCTCCTTCTCCTCTTTCCTCCTCTTCCTCGTCTCCGTCGTGTCCGGAGCCGAGCCGCGAGTTCGCTGTTCCGACGTCTGCGACGTGAGCGCGTGCCCGAGCCCGAGCTGCCCGGCCGGTTACGTGCCGGACCGCTGCGGCTGCTGCCTCGTGTGCGCGCTGGGCGAGGGCGCGCCGTGCGGTGGCGCGCAGCAGCGGCGCTGCGGGGACGGGCTGGAGTGCAGCGGCTCGGGGGGGAAGAGGGTCTGTCAGTGTAAGCAGAGCTACAGAGTTTGCGGCAGCGACGGCAGGACCTACAGCAGCCCGTGCCGGCTGCGCGCGGCCAGCAGGAAGGCGCAGGACAGAGGACAGCGCGCCCTGACGCAGGCGCACAAGGGCCCGTGCGCACCGGCAAAGACAGGTAGGAAACAGAGTTATTACAGCTCTGAGCGCTTCATTCTGCTTTTAGATCTCAGTTTAGATTCAGGTAGTATTAGAGGTGCATGAACAGTTTTAGTTTTGTTTTTATTTCATGAAAAGTTACAGTTTTAGTTTAATTTGGATTTAGTTTCAGTTTTAGTTTTACTGTTTAGCATTACTGTGACAGTACACACTCAAATGGTTCTTCGCGTGGTGAAATGGTTCTTCAGGTTGATGGAGAATGTGTTATATATGGTTCTTTTGTTAAAGGTTTGACATCATAACAATAGAAGAACCCTTTTTGATGAAACATTTTCAAAAAGGTTCTAGATAGAACCATACACAACACATTCTCCATCAATCTAAAGAACCATTTCACCATGCGAAGAACCATTTAAGCATGAAATAGTTCTAAATAGAACCACTCCCTTTACTGAAGAACCATTGAAGAAGCATATTTTTAAGAGTGTAGAATAACATTAATACAGCAGTAGACTGAGGTCAGCTCCAGCTTTCTTAAAAGTCAGCCAAACACAGAAGAATCCCACTTCTGGACTATTTTTCTCAGCAGTGAACATTATTCGTTTAGCTTTGATTTAGTTTTCATGTTTGTGAAAACTGTTGTTTTGATCACAGTTACTGTTAGTGAGCACATTTGTCACTGCTAGTTTTCATTTTATTAATGCTTTAAATTAACTACACTGTAAAAAAGAAACTTTCAAAGCAACATGCACTAAGATTTTTGAGCAGATTCTGTAGTCACTCCTACTAAGGCTAATTTAACTAGCTTAGATTTGTTTGTTCATCCAATAATAGGTTGCCATAACATTTTTTAAAATGGGAAACAACTTACGTTACATTTACACCTGCTGGAAGACACCATCATCCAGAATGACTTACAGTCTCTCTGAGGTAACTAGCATAGCATTAAGGATCTTATACTCATAGTTCTGTCCCAAGCAGAGAACCGACCCTCAGTCTGTTGGTGGAGGGCAGCAGTGTTACTCACTACACCATTCCAACTGTTAGCTCAAGGCAAGAATTTATCAGGTGTGTATGACAATAAAAAACATAACCATCTGGTCATTTGCTTGCAGTTTATATAGCCTAGCACAGCGAGTAACACCTCTGCCCTTTGATTCCCTGCCCAGACACACCATGCTGTACTAATAAACATCTGTGAATCAGAGTCCTAATGCTACATAGCTTATCTCTCTGACATGATTAGAGTGGAAGCCTTTCCACATAAGAGTGTTTGCCAAATACTGTAATATATAATGTTTTTTTAATTTAGATTGATTTGCCAGTCTAACTTAGGATTAACAAACAAATTTAAATACATTAAACAAATGAACATCAGTAAGGATGACTACAAAAGCAGCTGTTGAGAAAACTCAAAAATGCTAATGGATCATGTAGCCTTAAAATTTTAGTTTCCTGAACAATTTATTACAGTTTAGAATATGCTTAGAGACAGGAGGACACAGGCAGACCACTGTTCTCATAAGAAAACCTCATATCTCTCCAACAGCAACTTTATAGGAGGCAGAAAAATACATTTGTAACTTAACATCTTTTAATGTAACTTGCAGAAACTTGAAAGTAAGCAAGTCACAGTTGTTACGCAATCGCCTGATTGCTATCATTAAAGCTGAATGCAATCATTTTTCATAGCTGCTAGCTTTTACAATTGTTTCTGTTGTAATAAACATCAGTTGGGTTGAGGCACGTTTATGTAAGTAAAAGAACACAGAACATTCATTACTGAGATGAATCATATGTCTTACAACTAAAACATTTCACCTACAAAAGTTTTAAGTGACTTGTTTCTAAGACACTTTTAAAGGGCAGCGGTGAGTAATGTTTGTTTATTTGAGCTCTAGCTGTGTCAGTCATCAGTTGGGAGCTACTAAGTATCTTCAAAAAGTAAGCAGGATAGCTAATCAGCCAATTTGGTCACTTTAGATTTGTAGTTAAATAGTTGCCAGTGAGTGGAAAGAGTCCTGAAAATCCTTGCTTAAATACGAGTAATGTTACTGTAGTGATTATTTACTTACAAGTACAAGTAAAAGTAGTAGTAAAAAGAAATTACTCAAGTAAGAGAAAATAAGTAGTTTATTGGAAAACTGTTGCTGTTTTGTCTGTGTACAGCATAAATCAGTGTCCTATACTCACATCTCAACGCCCACAGTCTGATCAGATTACTCCTTAGAAAAACTACTACTTAACTAGACTACTACTTAAAAACAAAAAAAAAATAAAAATAAAAATAACAAAAAAACAGAAATGTTGATCAATGTTAACTTAAATGTCTAGCTGACAGGCATAAACAGGTGTTTAATAAATAGCTGCCATGTTATTCCAAAATAACAAAGTAAACAAAAAATAGAAAAAGAAGGACACATGCCTGTTCAGCTAGGATTAGCCAGTTGACTAGGTACTTGTGTACTTCCTAGGGTGGAAACAGGGTTGTGAAATGCAGAGTTGGGGAGATTTGTTTGGCAGCTGGAAAAAGGTAGAGATATAGACAAAACTTACAGTGGGCTGGCCAATTGTAGCTAGTGTTTTATTATACTGAGAGGTATTAGTCCAACATGTACATTAAAAATTAATTTATTTTTTTGGTACCATTCACATATGACAAATAATTACAGTTTGATTAGCTTTTTTAATGGAATGTACTGGGGTTACTTATGTGATTTTCTTGATACACAGCATTTATTTGCTTAGAGTTAAACTTACATTCACATTAACTTTAATATTCATTTAGCAAGCTAAGAAAATCATAGGAGGATGGACAGGAGACAGGTAGGGGATGGACAAGAGGACACAGGAAGAGGTAAAGAGAGACAGGTGGAGGTACTGGAACAGGTAAACGATGGACCAAAGGACAGAGGTAGGCGTACTAGGTGACATGAGGTAGAAGTACTGGGGACAGGTAGGGGATGCACAGAAAGACACAGTTAGAGGTATGGGGGGCAGGTAGCGGATGGACTGAAGGACACAGATGGAGGTATAGGGGACAGGCAGGGGATAGACTGGGAGACATAGAAGGAGATGGGGACACAGGTAGGGTATAGACAGGGGGAAATGGGTAGGGCATTGATGTCATAGTAAATATACCTCTTTATAAGTAACTTATAGAACCTTAAGAAGGTAAAAGAATTTGTCCTGTTCTGTTCATGTAACTTTCCAAAACTTGAGGTTTGATCAGCAATTTTTTTGTATGTTTGTTTATTGCATAAAAAGTACATGTTTTCAATTTCCATCCTATTAGCATTAGACATTTATTTTGTCCTTCCTTCACACTTCCTGGAATGTACAACACTGATTCTAATTACCAGCGTCTAGGCTTCTGTTTTAAGCATACAGGATCCTCTGTAGCATTAAATTTAACCTTCATTCACACTTCTGGGAATGTTTCACAGCATATCTAATTGGCATCAATGCAATCTATCAAGGATAGTGTCTTGTTATTTAGTTGCAGCTCATGGGTGGCCTTTGATATCTTGTAAACAACAATGTTGACCTGACACTTCTCAAACATAAAATCTATTGGAAAGACATTTAACAATAAACATACACCAGACGTTTAGCAATGCTTGCCAAAGATTCAGATGAGAGGAGGTCCTAAGCGCTCTAGCCTCAAGGGAAGAAAGAGAGGGGAACTAAGGACAGGATGTGCTAATTTCTTTGCGATTGAAATCAGTATAGATAGATTTACTTTGATCTTGCTCATTTGACCATCAGGCTACACTAAAGTGTAACTTGGTCCTGGTGTTGCACAGCCTAGTTTAGTTTATCAGACATGGGAGAATTGAGAAGGCTCAGACTTCTCAGTTATGCATGTGCAGTGATTAAGTAAAGTGAAACAAAGATATGAAATCTGATTACACAGAGTCTGATTTGCACCATGTGTTCTCATCATGTGTTATGGTTACCTCCATGCTAAGATTGAACTTTGTGTTAAAATCTCATATAAACCTAGTTTCCTCACACCAGTCGCCATACATGTATTGTTTCTCAAGCTATACAAGAGCAAGAACTGATGAAAACATATCTATATAGAACAGACTGCTGGCCTTATCTCTCAAAGGTAGTCAGTGTATGAGTAGATATAACCCTTTGGGGAAGCATGTCTACAGCCCTCCAGCACAACAGGACAAGATTAACTGATAAACTGTAGTAATTCACAGTAGGGTATTTCTGGGCCATTTTAGGGGGATTTACCTAGCAGGTCATTAGCAGGGCACTAGCAGGGCACTATGACCTGCTGCTGCTCTAATCCAGCTACTCACTTGGCAAAGTGAAAAAAGAGATTAAAACATAAGTCAACAACTGCTCAAGTTGTGAAAGGATGTTGGTTAAAAACTTGCTGAGATAAACATTTATTCAAAATATCTATAGTGACACCCTTGATTCACAGAACCAAGAGTTACCTAAAGGCATGGACAGTGGATAATTTGCATTGGATTAAGCAGTTTACTTGTCATTACAACCTTCAGTTCCAAAAAAATTGGGACAGTATGTGAAATGCTAGAGAGCAGTGATTAGTAAAATCTGTTTTATTCTGTATTAAATTGAACATGGTACAAAAAACATTTTTCCAAATTGGATGCAAAAGAACAAGAACATGTTTATCACTATTTTACATCACATTTCCATTTAACAATACTTAATAGTTGTTTCAGGACTGAAGATGCCAATTGATCCTGCTTTGTTTTTTTGCTATTCTTCTATCATACAGTTTCTCAATTAAACTAACAACAAATTAAAAAAGAAAAAAGAAAAGGAAAAGGGTTAGGCTTTGGGGCAGCCCCCTCCTAATCGAAATGCTCTATGAATGATGATTTATTGTATATTTAGCCTGTTACTATCTCAATTAATGCCTTGGGTTTAAATAGATCTTAACAAAGTCCTTGTAAAAATCTAAGGTCTAAATACTTAATTGTTGTTTTAAGTATTTTTTTACTGTGGGACTGCAGTTTGGACTAATTTGGTAGAATGGTCCATATATTGTTCAGTGTCAATAATGTATTAACAGACATGCACAGTTTTAAAAGGGTGGCCAGGATCTTCCCTGAAATCTGATTGGCCACCCCAGATGCCACCCAAAACCTCTGCCACATCATTGGCTTCCATGTTGCTGTGGAGTGGGCATTTGTGCCTTTAAGAGGAAAGGTGGAGCAACTCTCTTCGCAATAAAGTGGTGAAAGTGGTGAACCTTGACAAATAAAAGTCTAGGCCTTTCCTGGATTCTCCTTTTATACCCAAGCATGATTGCATCACCTGTTTCACATTTTTTTTTACAGTAAAAAAAAATGTGAAACAAAATCTTAACTAAAGCCGAGGAACACCTTTTTACAATGTTCCTCGGCTTAAATGAAAAAAACAAAATTAAGATTTTGCAGGGATAAAGTTCATAATGAGCGTATAGTTCCAAAAACAATGGAGTTGATAAGGTATAACATGAAATACCCTTACTGTTTTTGATTAAATACAAGTGAAAGTAGATTTACAAATCACTGCTTTCTGTTTTTCATTGCATTTCTCACACTATCCTAGCAATATGATAAGTAGACCTACCAGCAGTCTCATCCTGATTAGTGTGTCATTAACATAAGTATTTCTTTCTGCTAGTATAGGTTCCACACACCCCAACAGCCCCAGGTACAAGTTTAACTTTATTGCTGATGTTGTGGAAAAGATCGCCCCTGCTGTGGTCCATATTGAGCTCTTTGTCAGGTAAGCATGACCTCTGTGGACAATGTTTTTGTTGATGATGTTAGGCTAAATATTGCTTCTTATTAGATCTTGGCAGTCTTGGTGGTTGAGCAAAGCTACAAATATTTTGTCTCTTGTTATTTAAAACAATTCTTCCCATGTGAAAAAACACACAAGTATGAGGAACACATGCAGACTGTTGTGATGCCACTGCCTTTGTCCAGTTTATATTCTGTTTACTTAACATGATGACTGTTGCTTAGGCAAACTTTACACAACAAACTAAGGCATCATCTAAACACTACATTGTTTTGAATGGTTAGCTGTGATGGAGTCTGAAGAGGAAGGCAGTGTAAAACGTCAAACAGTGCATGTTCTCATGCAATTTGGTGTATTTTGAAGCAGCCATCTAAATTTACTTATATGTATACATTGCTAATGTAATTTATGAACATACTGATGCATTTTCTTAATTGTTTGTGTGTAGCCATCCTCTGTTTGGACGCCATGTGCCATTGTCCAGCGGTTCAGGCTTTATCATGACAGAATCTGGTCTGATCGTGACCAATGCTCATGTGGTGACCAGCAGTGCTACAGTAACAGGCCATCAGCAGCTACGTGTGCAGCTCCACAATGGCCAAACATATGAGGCCTCCATCAGAGACATCGACAAGAAATCTGACATTGCTACAATCAAAGTCAACCCAAAGGTGAGAGGAACAGGATTCACATTACAAAATGTGTACATCTACAGCAACACACTACAGAAACAAGTACTCAAACAATTTTCATGTTTCATCATTATGTATATATATTCAATGCATATACCTAGTTAATTTTATACATATGATGTCTTTTGACTTTGTACTTCATTATTTGTGCTACGAAATGTCACGTAACAAGTAGCAATCAAAGTGAAGGAGCTTCCTACGTTTCTCAGGGACAATATTCAAATGGAAAAATCTACAGATCCATAGCAAAGACCTTTAATACCCTTGTTAGTACAGTTTCTTCTATTTTGTGTACAAGTGGAAAGCTCATGGAACCACAGCTAATGGTCCATAGACAGGTGCAACATGCAAGATTTCACTACATTTCACTTCACTTCAGCAGAAACAACAGTTACACAGAGAAAAAATAAGCCACAAACAGCACTGTAATCATTCCCCCAGACCAAAACTATACTCTGATCAGACAAAATAAATGTAGAATGCTGGCAATAATTCAGGTCATCGTGTTCAAAGAAAGAATGGCTGCACATATGATCCAAGAAACACCATTTCCACAGTGAAGCATGCAGGTGGGAGTATCATGATATGTGACTTCTTCTCTGCAAATGGCACTAGATCACTACGCATCATCAAAGGAAATAGGAATGGAACTGGGACATATCAGAGGAGATCTTAATTTAATTTGCCAAGAAACTGAATCCGGGGAGAAAATAAGCCAAAATAACCGAAGACTTGTTCCAAAAAGAGAAAGTGAAAAAATGGCCTAGACAATCTCCTGACTTGAATAACATTGAATATTTATGTAATATTTATTTATTTTTGAAATTGGGAGTCCCCCTTAATGTTGAGGAATCAAAGATGGTTTGAATCAAGAATCGATTAGGGTTGGGAACCACTGAAACAGTAGACCCTTGGTCACCAACCTTTTTCTTGGAGATCTACCTTCCTGCAAGTTTTACCTCCGACTCAAATCTAACGCACCTTGTTCAACTAATCAAGAACTTCTGAACCCAATAATTAGATACATCAGGTGAGGTGATTATGGTTGGAGCTAAACTCTTCAGGCAGATCTCTGCAGGCAGATCTCCAGGAGTAGAATTGGAACAGACTTATTTTTATTATTTATACTGTTTTTACTTATGTAAAGCACTTTGAATTGCCTTTGTCTATGAAACACGCATTATAAGTAAACTTGCCTTGCTAATACTAAACCCGCTCAGTTGGACTCTAGATCATCTGAAGATCATGAGAAGTTCAAGCAGACTTTGTTCATTCAAACAGATTCAAACAGATTATTTGGCATATTCAATTTGAGCAGAAAGATTTTCTGCACTCTGAATGACAAAAAGCAACATGATTTTTGTCCAGTCAAATTCAAGCCACATTGTGTTTGATTCATGTGACTTGGTTTGACCGAACAGTTTGGATTTCCTGACATCAGAATCGGCAACAAGAACTTGCTTTTGCCTGCCCTGTCATAGTCAGCATACGCTTGCCTGCCCTGTTACTATAACAACTGATGTAGATACACGAGCAATTGTGACTACAAATCAGATTTGGTCACTTGGTAACTTGCAACGTGGAAACTCTCTCTAAACCTAAATTTAGGAAACAAACTTGATCTGCTGTCTATGTGAACAAAGCCTCAAGGAATGTAAGGCTGCTGTCAGAAATGTGCATGTCATCTCTTCCTAACAAGGACATACTTTTTGATGCTGTGGACTTTCCTGGCAATCATTACTCTGTTTCCTTCAAGGCATTTAGAGTCTTTAATGAGATTTCCACAGAGGCTGTCAGTAAATCCCAGTGGACTATATGCTACTCCGCCATTGTCAGCACTGCTGATTACAAGTCTGGCCTTTACAGCACTGGAGGCGGTGTGAGCTGAACTTATCTCTCATAGTCGACGAGCTAGTATATATCCCACTCCCTGCTGTGTCTAGTCCACTTGGACGCGCTAATGACTGCCTGCTGTCTCTTCTCGTGTTGACCTACATACGCTGCTTGTATGGGAGCTCAGGAGATGTGGTGTAAGACTTTGGAATGAGGGATTTTATTTTCCTGTTCCGTATGGAACTCATTATGTGGGTGCATAAACACTTGAGAGCAACTGGTCTGGTCAGGTCCTTGTCTAAGAGCTGGGACAGAGCTGAGTGTTTGGTTTAGATTATCAGAGATGCAACAGAGCATGATCCTGTGGAAGTGGACGAGAAAAAGCAGTGAGACTCTCACTTAGGAGTGAGACCTCACAGATTTCAACCCCTGTTTCTCTTCATGTCCCTCTGTTGCCATCTTACTTCTCTAGTTCGAGTTCTTGTTGATTTGATTTCTCATTTTAAATCTTTTAATTACAAAGCAAAAAAAGATATTTCTGTCTTTTAAAAAGATATGTTCTGCCTTTTATCATTAAGGCTGTAACACTCAGTGCGATGTAAATATTTTGCAGTGCTTTTATGCTGAGAAAAAAATCAGAGGCAGAATGTCTTCATGTGACAAAAGATCCTTTGCATCTTGGTTGTTGCCAAGCCAACACTAGAGACAACTGGGATTGGTTACGTTCATGTTGGCTGTGAAAAAATTGGCCCAGGAGGCAAAAAATATAATGATGCATTTTCATTTTTCAAAAAAGTTTATTATTATTATTTCATGAATAAATCATGCATGGTGTGTAAAGGCCTTTTATCTAATGAAACAAATCAATACTAAATGTTTTCATTTTCAAGTTTCAGACACAAGCACAATGAATTCAACAATAAAGACAGCATGGTGCTTCTTTTTCACAGTCCTAGAAAACACAGTAGCACACAAAAAGCTTAAATTTCACATGTTGATCCATTTTACTATGGCCAACGGAACATGCATTTGTCTCAACTGCTCTGAGGACAAATTTGAATGAAGTTAAAGAGGACAAAGTCAAAGTATCTGACTGTACTGTCAGTGACACCTAGGATAGGACATACATAACTCTTATTATGTACACCCTTATTGTTTAGTTATTAGTCTAGACTTTTGGTTCAGTAACTACTATGACACTAACCCTCAGGTCTTCAGAGTGAAGTTAATCATTTCATTGTTTATTTCTATTTATTTATTCTATTTATTTATTCTATTTATTTCTATAGACACACTGTTTTCATGTTCGCCCAGTTTGCCCCTGTTAGTAACACCCTCTCTGTCTCTTTTGTCTGTCAGAAAAAACTGCCAGTGCTGCCTATGGGTCGCTCTGCTGACCTTCGTCCAGGCGAGTTTGTGGTGGCCATCGGCAGCCCGTTTGCTCTGCAGAACACAGTGACCACAGGCATCGTTAGCACAGCGCAGAGAGATGGGAAAGAACTTGGCATCCAAGACTCAGACATGGACTACATCCAGACTGACGCCATCATTAATGTGAGACTCCAAACATGACAGTCTCGTCTGCCCCAGTTCACCTCAGCAATATCTTCTTTTAATTATTAGCCACATAAAAAAATCAAGCATGCTATTATTTTTTTCAGGTTTACTTACAGTTTGTTTAATAATACAATATATTATAATATAATATAATAAACGTATCATATAATTTCAATAATAATAACAATAATTATAATAATAATAATAGTAGTAATAATAATAATAATAATAATACAAAATATACCTATATACAGTTGTATGCAAAATTTTAAACACCCCCTGTTGATTTTCTAAGTGAAAAAAATGAACAAATCCTCCACATGGAACAAACTTTAATATGAAAAGTTTATGCTAATTTTACAGCACAATATCTAAGTATTTGCTAAGTTTAACATATTATATTTAAAAATTTAAAACATATTCAGTTCAGCCAATGAACAGCAACTCTGCAGAAGTGTGTGATCTGTAGAGGATGTTTTAACTTATTTTACCTCAGAAAATTAACAAAACATGTAATTTAACCAGGGTTCCCTTTGCATACGACTGTGAAAAAAACTAAAAAAAAACAAAGAAACAATGAAACAGCCTCAGTGCACCTTGGTATACTTCCTACAAGTCTGTTAAACTGGACTGTAGAGACGGAACACAGCACATCCAGAAGTTTCCTTCATTTGGTGTTGTGATGATCTGATGATGTCCTGTATTGATGTTTCCAATCACTCTTCTGTTTTCCCTTATATATCACTAATGTACGAGCTTTATGCTCATTGAATGTGCACTTTCTAAGCCTGTTTAGTGACTGCTTCTCTAGATTTAAACGCAGATGTCATCGATATTATTGAAACAATTTCATTTGACATTTACTAGTGGTGGGTCGATTCTCAGATGCATCGCGATGCGGACGTGGACGATTCTGAATCAATTCACAAATGTCAAAAATCGATTTCCTAAATATTTAATTTATAAAGTAATGTTGACAGAATGCAAAAGCGGAACTTGGAAGTCCGGAAGTGCAGCTCCCAGATGCTCTGTGACGGCACATAACAAAAACACAACCGGATGAGCGAGAAATTCGACCGGCTCCCTCTGCATTAAAAGCTAGGTTTTGTCAGGAATCGACAATCCTAATGTTAAGAAGAGCCATTTTGTCCTTTCAACAAAAATCAGACCACTTTGGGATCCACAATAATGTCCAATATGTCTCAGTATGTGCTGATGTCCTAGTATAGGCTAAAAATCTAAACGAAAACACGGACTTACTCTACTCTGTTTTAAGCTTCAATTATAGCCGCTTTCCTCCCATCTCCGCCAGAAAACTTTTCCTCAAAAGTTGAATAGTTTCTTGTAAAATGTCTCTCAACGGTCGACTGTTTTGCGAGGCAGAAGTTGCTTCTCATTCCCCAGCTTCTTGTTCGAATTTTCCCATTCCATCTTAAATTCTGCCTGAGGCGCCAGAATGTAAATGCGGCACTATTTAAGGTGGAACGGGACAATTCTAATGAGAAGCTGACTTCATCTTTGCAACTTTTGACCAGGAAACCAACCGCGGTGCTTATAAATGCGAATAAGTCCATTCGTCTCCAAATGTTCATCTTAAATGTTTCTCTTTGCCTTTTCGTTACCTACCAGCCAGGCGATACTGTCTGTATTGCTATGTGACCTGCAGCCTGCATGTTGCTATGTTGCACACTTTGGAGCTGAGATACATCATCCCGTCTTGAAGATATTTTACTGACACAGTAATCCCCCCCGCCACTCTCCACAACGAGACCAAAACTGAAGTAATAGAATCACTGAAGAAAACGGGTAGGACAGCTGTAACGTGCTGCGTGGACATCCATTGCCACAGGATCTTATATCACCGTAACAGCGCATTTTATCATAGATGAGTGGCAGCCAGTGTTTCATGTGCTCCAAGCAAAAGCAGTGAATGAGAGCCCTCCAGTTCACTTGCCAGATCACTTCCATTTGTTTTATTCATAAAAGATATTGGAAGTAAATACATTATGGATCATTACAAATACTTACAAGTCCTCACACAGTGAGAAAATAGAAATCCTGTATAGAAAAAAAAGATGCATCAAGATGCATCAATAATCATTTTATAATCGCATTGCGGCCCTCTGAATTGTAATCGAATTGAATGTGATCTCTTGAATCTTTTGAAGTTATGCACTACAGTGTATGGAATACCTAAAATCCTTGCAATCCTTGACTGAATGTTACTCTTAAACTGGTGGATTTTTGTATCCTTGCTCATAAAGGACTTGGCCTTTCCTAGGTGCTCCTTTTATGTCCAAGCATAATTGCACCACCTGTTGTTTGAACAGATGTTTAAAGTCTTACATTGCCCTCGTCCCAACTTTTTTGGAACATGTTGCAGGCATCAATTTTCGAAAGAGTGTAGATTTACAAAAACACAATGAAGTTAATAAGGTAAAACATTAAATTTCTTGTCTTTTTACTGTTTATTTTTGTTCAAAAACAAGTTAAAGTAGATTTGCAAATTATTGCTTTCTGTTTTATTTGCTCATTTTTATAAGAAAATCTGTATTAACTCTTGTCCTCTCTTTCTCCTCTTCTCTTTCTGTTCTCCACTGCTACTACTGAGTAGTATGGAAACTCAGGTGGTCCACTTGTTAACCTTGTGAGTAGCTGTCAAATATCAGTTTGCTTGTTCTTAGATTTACCTTTCAAATATCGCATCACAATTATATTGCCTGATGTCTTACCCTGTCTTGACTCAGGATGGCGAAGTGATCGGGATAAATACACTGAAGGTGACAGCTGGGATTTCCTTTGCTATTCCGTCAGACCGTATTAATCGATTTCTAGATGAGTCTCATGACAAGCACAAAGGTAAGAAGCTTGGCATGACATAAACTGCTGTAAAGTGTGGGTTTCTGCACTAACTCCATGAAATCACCATGAAATGATGCAACATTGAGACAGTGAGGAAAGCAGTGTGATAAAAGTGTATTAATCATGGACATCCGTAAGGAAGAGTTGTTGACATGTATGTCATTTACTTTGGTTTCAGTTAAACACAGACTAGTCAGGACGCACTACATGCAGTCTCACCCTGTGGTATCTGACTCAGGTGAGACAGCTCTCACTGTGCTGTATATATTTTATTTTTGTTTTATTTAACTACTACTTAACTCTGTTATGATACACTATTCTATTTTTTATTCCACCAACAACTGCCTCGAGACCAAATTAATTCTTCTTAGAAAATGTAAAAACCTAAAACTAAGAAACAACATTTCATGTACTATTAACCCCTAAAAAGTCAGGGCCTGCCGGTAGGCCCAAAGTTTTGGTACACACTTCTATAACCTAAGAACAGCTCAACCAGTTTGTACTGAAGTTTGTAATGTAATAATGAGATTTTACTAGAATAAACACAGTTATTAATTGAATTACACACATATAAAAAACAAATATATTCCTATGTAAACAGGGTATTTATAAAGCAATTTTGAGAATTCCAGGGAAGGGAGACACTATGATGTCCAGGGCAGGACGACACTGGTGTAACAGATGACTCCACATGGCAACAATGAATCAAATGATTTGAATAGAGCGATACTGTGTATGGATAATTCTTTTTCTATTCTACCAAATTAGCTCAGACTGCAGTCCTACAGTTAAAAATAAATAAATAAATAAATAAATAAATACATAAATAAATAAATAATTAAAAAACAAGCATTCAGACCTTAGATATTTACAAGGATTATGTTACGATCTAATTAAGCCCAAGGCATTAGAAGAGATAGTACTAAGATAAATAAATACAAAATCATCATATATAGTGTACTTTCTATTGAGAGGTGGCTGTCCCAAACCCTAAACCCTGTCCTCACCCCTAAATTTCAACTTAGGGCTTCAAAATAATATTTACATTTACATTTTTTAGGATCTTTTTGATCTATTTTAACGCAGAGGTTTTGATTTACCATGAGTTTAAATTTTAAATAGAAAAACTTTTTAAAAATCCAATTAAGCGAACATAACATTATGATTTTGCATCTGTACAACTTTTCAAAGCTGTTTTTGATGGTCACATACTGGCTTGCGGTTTTATGTTATGCTCAAAATTAGTTCAAATTTCACTATCGAAACAGTCACTATGGAAACATTTGGTAAAGTGTTAGCGTTATGATATTAAGAAAATGGAATGTTTAATAATTAATTTAATCAAAATAAAAATAAAGTCATAAAGTCTAAAATGGTTTTGGGGTTTTAAACTGTGACTCTGAGGTAAATCCATGTCTGAGCTCAAAACATTTTAAATATGTATGAAAATGAAAGTATGGTAATGATAATTAGCACCATGAAGAATCAGTAAACACAGAGCGGTAGAGCAAGTCACATAATTCACAGTGTTACAACTAAGCCTCCTAAATTAAAGACTGAGAGAAGTCGATATCCCACATATACATACAAACCGGGCTGAGTGGTAGGGGTAGAGGGTTTGCCCCTACTCTCCCCTATTAGTTTACCTGGGACTCAACTGGTTTCTATACTAAGAAGAACAATAGACACTTCAAGAATAAACTTTCAATGAACATTTTCTATCATGAGGACCCACTACCCTACACAATTTCAACTCTGCTCTGATTTATCACACCTGATCCAGCTGTTCAACTAATTATCAAGCCCTTCATTTGCTCAGATGGGTTAAGGCAGGGAATAGATGAATCTGAGACAAACCAACATCAATGCAATTATAAGAGAGCTGAACAACCCTTCACATACAGTGGTTACCACTGTTATTGACTGTTATCTGGGCTATCTGTTGTATTTCATGACACTTCTTTGGGATAACATTGAGGGCTGCTCTACCAGCTGCTAATCAAATGTACTCATGTTAGCTGTGCATGTCATCATCTCTACTACTCCTGCCATCTTTATATCATATTGATGAATTGCACTGAACTCACCTACATTTTCCATTAGATCTTCTGAAAATAAGCATGATCTCCACATTTTGAGCTATTATTATCTTCTGTGTTTGTTTTATTATTGACATTATTACTCAAGACAATTAATTATCCTTTTTTCCAGATGTTACATCCTCAAAGAAAAGGTTCATTGGCATTAGAATGATGACCCTCACTGAGGAGTAAGTCATATATTCTCTCACTTAACTTACTGGATACTTTCAGTGTCAGGTTGATAAAATAAACATAACATTATGTAACATTAAAACCAGCTCCTTATTTCTACACTCATTGTCCATTTTATCAGCTCCACTTACCATACAGGTACAATTACAGACTGTAGTCCTTCTGTTTCTCAGCATCAGTTTTAGTTTAGTTAGCCTCCTTTCACTCAGCTCTTAAATAGTCCGGACCTCCACAGGACCACCACAGAGCAGGTATTATTTGGTTGGTGGACTATTCTTACTTGAGCAGAACTGCTGTGTCTGATCCACTCGTACCAGTGCAGCACACACTAACATGCCACCACCACACCAGTGTCACTGCAGTGCTGAGAATGATCTACCACCCAAATAGTACCTGTCTTTCGCTGTCTAAAAAGATGGTGGAAATGTGTAATTGTACACAATATGCAGCAGAACACTTTGTAATGTCGGTTGTGCTTCGAATCTGCTCCCCAAGCGGATGAGTCCGATGAATGTGTGTTGAAAAAATATTCAAAGTGAACTCAGTCAAGACATCTGTGAGGAAGTCAGTGAATGATCTACTATAGCCAGCATATCTTGATGATTTTACTGAGACCTAAAGCTGGACATACTTTTTGAGTCTGTATGTGACGTTAATACATAAAGAAGTATGACGTGGTCCCAAATCTGATTTGACACCTCTAACATTTACATAACTATTTCAGGCTTTACAGGTTGACTCACAGCTGTGCACACACAGTATTTTAGCAAGTTTTTTTCCCTCCTGACTCAGTGATGCTACTTCTTTCAATAAAAAAAAAAAAATAATAAAATTTTCCTATTACTGATATGTGGGGGAATTCTCTGCACTGTTTTTTTTCCCTTCTGTTTCTTTTTTCTTTAGCCTGGTTGAAGAGCTAAAGCAGCACAATCCAGATTTCCCAGATGTCAGCAGTGGAATTGTGGTTTATGACGTCATTCCTGATTCCCCAGCGCAAAAGTGTGTCCTTTAGTCAAACAACAGCTGTTTGATACATCATTAAAATAGATATATTTTTAAATGCTGGTGACGTATGCTGTGGGAAAAACTTGGTCATATTTTTTTTCTTTTTTTTCTTTGTTGTTTTGACCAGGGGCGGGCTCCAAACAGGTGATATCATCGTAAAGCTGAATGGCCGTCCATTGTTCAGCACAGATGATTTACAGTTTGCACTTCAGGAGGACACACCTCTTCTTCTGGAAGTTCATCGCGGCGATGATGATCTACTGTTTAACATTGAACCACACATCATCATGCAGTGATTGAGGTGGGCCCTGTCTGGGGACTAAGATGGGCTTAGACAATGAGGATGTGAAGGAATGCTGAAGGAACTTAACTGAGACCAAAGGACTGAGTTTCTACAGCCAGCACTATTCAATGTTGAATACCAGGAAGTGCAATAAAGGTGCACCACCAACCAAGGGACAGACAAAACCAGCAGTTTGTAAATGATGACTACTAAAGTACTGCATTATTTTCCTAGTGTTTCTAAATGCAACTGAATCCTCAGAATGCCAATCACAGTGGTGCTGCTCTTGGAGACATCTGAATATGATGGAGTCATACAGTCAGTCACTGGAGCCAATTGTCTGTGTTTGTATCCTTGCCCCTCACTTTAAACAACCTGCATGAGATATTCATCAAAATTACTGAATGAATATGCTACGTATTTTTAATTGACCTGATTCTGGAACGCTGTGATAAGTTCTTGGCACATGCGGCAGAATTGTAGTCCATGCACCCTGATGCAAGCAGGTCTTTGCATATGCTATAGCTTTTCTGCTCATGTTTTTTATCGATGTGCTTACACTTTATAGAAACTGATAGAAAAAAAATATTCAGTATTCATATTGAATGAGTAAAAGACTAATTGAATGTCAAAAGACAAATGTACACAAAACTACACAACCAACGATATCAGTTCATCAGAATGAAGTGCTACTGTTTAGGGCCAAACTTTTTTGTTGTTACGAAATATTAATTAACTTGAAAAGTGCAGTACTGTATGTTCCTATGTTTTTTGTAATAAACATAACTCTACATCTCCCTGCAAACACTGTAAACTCTGCAGTTTCTTTCAAAGCCACTTTATTGGATTCAGATCAACTGTTACAGGTGTCCACTGGCAATTCTATGATTTTTTTTGTAGGTGGGCCGTAATGGGGCGGTTCCTGTTCAAAGGACAAATAAATGCTTTCAAATTCTAAAAGCTCCAATATCTATATAATATATTTGTATATATGATGCACATTATATACATATAATATTTAGTGTGTTTTACATTTGGCAGCAGACATGATAACATTGAATCATGAGGCTGTTAATTTAACAATTACCAAGTACAGACATGCAAACTTGTAAGCAGTAAAAATAGGATAGAAACAACCCCCTTGTAAAAATGAGGCATTATGGTGCATTCATATTGGAAAACAGGTAATTTCTGTAGAATAGAGGGGACCAGTTCTGGTCCTGGAGATCCACCACCCAAGAAAGTTTAGATCCAACACCCCTGTGTGTAATGTTTGTCTATTAATTGGATCAGGTGTGTTATATAAGGGCTGGAGCTAAGCTCTGCATGCTTGTAGATCTCCAGGACCAGAATTTAAAGGATGAAGTTTGTAGAAAGATTCTGTTCATTGAGTTCAACAACTATGGCAATTCAAGTCAAAAAAACTGTACTGCTTTTCAAGTATTTTGATATATTTGTTTAAAATAACTGATTGCTTATCATACCAATGTCAGTGTGTACAAACTTCTCCTTTTACGAGCCCTCCTAAAAAATGTATAAATAGAGAACATCCTAAAAACCCACTATCATTTGTGTTCTGTATACTGAAAGGCTTGTACTGGCAGCATGATGAGCGAAGTGCTTGGACCCCTTTTACCAAGTCCAACACTGAGACATATCCTCCACATCAACAAACCATTTGGAAAAGAGAAAAGAGAGATTTTATATATTGGAATTATCTCAGATTCCTTTCTTATGTGTTCTCGCACTTTATCCAGCAAATAGGAGAACACATTGCTGTTCTCCTGACAAAGAGAAGGTCCAAAACGTACTAGATTACACTCATTTGTTTTTAGAAAGATGTATTGGTCATCGTCATAGCTATTTTTTTAAAACAGAAAAACTGATACTTTTTGTAGAAAGATCTTCATTTTTTTTAATAAGGAATATTTTGTTTGATTGATAAAAGGTTAGATTTCTTCTACAGCTTCAAAATGATGTTTACCAAAGGTGCCAGTAATTCTGGAGGTCAATAAGGAAAGAAAGGCCATATATACCAGGCCAGAAGGCTTGGTGTGCACTTAAATTCACAGGTAGGGCTCTAGATAAAATCCACAAGATTCCCATGAAGTGGAATCATATGTAACAGAGCTTCAGTACATTGGCTTATGAAGGATTCACAAAGTTTCTATAACCTTTACACCTGAGTAACGAACACCACAGTGCTTACTATATATGACAGGTCTGGGGTGTTTAGGGCCATGAGCTTTTCATGCATCCATAAGAAATTATCTTCAAGAGTGGAGGTACATGCCGGTAAGCTCATGTAGATAATATAGCCATTTTAACAAGCAAAGCATGTGCTGAAATGTAGCTTGAATGGAATTTCAGTAATTGGCATATATGTTATAGTTGCCATAGTTGTTATAGACTGGTCCATCCACCAAGGAAAACTCTCTTTCTTGAGGAACCTACATGCCAGAGAAAACAATACATGAGAAAATACTGAAGCCCAGCTTTTAAGCAAACTTTCCCTGTCTCACTCATAGGCTGGTCAACCATCATGAAATTTCAGCTGATGATTAATAATAAACTAATATCATTGCGATTAATAATTTTAACCCCTTAAAATTCCAGACTTACATACTAAGGCTTATTATTCAGTAACTTTAGGGACTTCAATGAAAACTGGCTGAGCTATTCTTAGATTATAGAAGTGTGTAATAAGCATGCCCTGGCCATTTAAGGCATTAATTGTCTTTTTCTGTTCACTTTTAAAGTGCAAACCTAGGAAAACGTAAAAAAAAAAAAAAATCTATCTCAATTTTTTGGGCTGTCAAAAGATTCAAATAATTAAATACAATTAATCATATTATTTTGTGTGGTTGTTTACAGTTAATCTCATGTGTCTTATGTGCTCAAATTTGACCCTGAAGACCCTGAAGAGTTTCCACATTTAAAAAGGAGTTTATTTTGTCAAATCTATTTAAGGAGATAAAATTAGTTTCAGTAATTCAATAACATTACTTTAATGAACATTATATTCACATGAACCTGAACATGAAAGTCAATGGAATGCAGGGTGAACATGAATATAAGGTGTAGGTGCTGGATTACTGATATTGCCAATATTAGAAACTGCTTTTTGTTTTGTATGTAAATGATAATGTGTCCATGTTCTTTGGTGATAAATTCAAGTAGAATAGCAGTAGCTGGAAAAAATGGCTTCATCAAGAGAGGCATCAATGGAATTTTCTATTAAAAGCTGCATTTAAAAAACAAAAACAGTCACAGAGTCATAGACACATACAGTGCATGAGCATCTGGGCTTCAGAGTGAAACTACTTATGGTTTTAAGGGTCAAACTAGCAAAAACCATCATTGTACTTTGACTTCAGGTCATTTCATGCATATGTTAAGATATCTTATTATCCACATATTTAAAAGAAACTGTCTGCTTTGCTTTGTGAAACACATTTTTTTTCTCACCTCAGTTGGCTCAGGGTTTTCATAAATATCAGCGGGTGTCATGATGTTACTTTGTATCTTTGTCTTCTTCTCCCTGCCATGAAATAGAGACAAGTGAACAGAGTGTTTTGTTTTCTGTTTATGACAGCAGGAGAGAATAAGAGAGGATCAGCAGGAATGTTGTGTACCTCTCTGATTTGCTGCTAATGACAGCTTGACTACTTGAAGGCCTGTTTTGGTATCCTGTCACTCCTTCATCTTTCTACAGATTGAACAAGATACATTAAAGATATTCTTTAAATGTGAATTGTACAAGGCTGTGCCATTCATTGAATAAAGTGCATGATAGTTCAAGGCAATATTTGCAGTCAAATTGTAGTTTAGTTAGTCTATTTCTTGCCTCCAGCGGCAAAATATAAATGTTCTCTCCGCTGTTGTTCACCTCCATTTGGGCTCCCCCTGGTGAGTCCTGTTTACATTAAAACAAACAATTTTAGTTCTTCAAGACAGTTTTACCAAACAGCTATATTTACAGATCAGTCATTTCCTTCTGATTGCCCTTTTGGGTTGTGCTGCCCTGACTTTGGATTATTGGACTTTGTCTTTTGTCTTTGCCTTTTGCATTTGGTTGCCTGGCATGTTTTTCCTTTTGTATATTTTGACTTTTCTGGATCTGACCTTTTCATGTTTCTTGACTCTGAGTTTAGTCCAAGCCCCTTATAATAAAGCCTCATTTTTCATTTTTTAAAGCAGGTGTCTAACTGGATCGGTTTGGTTACAGTACACATACCCAGCCACCCACGTGATGACTGTGAAAACGGGACTCAGGCGATAACATGGGCACTCTCATGGGTTTGTGGCTACAAAGCCCCATACGCAGCAGTGTGTGATGCACTGTGTGTTGTGACATATTCCTCCCATAATGGCCATTAAAGATTTTGCCACAGTAGCTTTTCTGTTAGTTTAGACCAGACAGGATAGCCTTTGTTGCCCTCATGCATCGACGAGCCTTGGGCACCCAACACCCTGTTGCTGGTCTGTGGTTTGTCCCTCCTTGGATTGCTATCAGTAGGAACTCACCACTGCTGACCAGGAGCACCCCACAAGCCTCACAGTTTCAGAGATGCTCCAACCAAGTTGTCTGCCATAATGATTTGGCCATTGTTATTTAGGTTGCACCCTGTGATGGACTGGCGATCTGTCCAGGGTGTATCCTGCCTTCCGCCTAATGACCGCTGGGATGGGCTCCAGCTCCCTCCGTGACCCAGAAGGATAAATGGCTTAGAAAATGTGTGTGTGTGTATTTAGGTTGCTCAGGTCCTAATGCCTGCCCATTTCTCCTTCATCCAATATGTGGACTACAATAACCAACTGTTCACTTGTATCTGATATATCCTAGACCTTGACATTTGCTGTAGTTATGAGATAATTAACATAATTTGCTTCATATGGTCATAATGTTTTGGCTTATTGGTGTATGTGTTTTACCAGTGTAACAAATTTGCCATCTTAGAACATCCACTGGCTTTTAACTTATGCTGCCCTTTAAGTTTACTTTTGTACAGCTGACAACAGACATATTACACATTTAATGTTACATCTAAAGTGAAGATTTACTGGTACAGGATAAATGTAGTCATCATCTTCTGCATCTTCTTTCTCCGTGCACATCCCTGGGAATGGTGGTCCCTGTTTACAGAGGAGTCAGGCATTATCACAGAAACGTACATTGTAAAAATGCAGTTTCCTCTTTATGTTAACTCTTTACTAGAATTTTGTTTCACCTTTTGCTATTCAGAGTTCAAATAATGATACTAATACTCATTTTCTGACTATGGTTAATATGAACCTGATTTGAAGACTTGATGGATCCATCAATCCAAATAAAACAGTTTATAAAGTCAATAAATCATGGGAATCAATACATTTCTACTTACTGGCCTCCTGGGTGCCACTTTAGCTGTACTGTTTTCGAGGACTTTCCTTTTGTCTGCTTCTACTCTTACTTTCTCTCTTCCTGAGAATAAAGAAGACAAAACAATGAAAGAATTTGGAGATGTCATGTAGTATTTGAAGTCTTTCACTTCATCTGTGACATGGCCACATATTTACCCTCTTATTTTGTACAGTGGGTTGGACACCATAGAACACTATTCTGTCTGGACACTCTCAAAAAGGATGCTTCTTTAAGGGTTCTTTAGTAAAGGCAATGATTTCATTTACAACCATGAGTTCTATAGAGAATCATTTTTGAAAATTGTTCTA